GTTGGGTATGGGAGTTAGAGGGAGAATTGAACCCAGATAAAGGCACTCGGGGGTATTTTTAAAAGTTATACTAGGGATTCCCTGGTGGCGCAGTGGTTGAGAGGCCGCCTGCCGAGGCAGGGGACGTGGGTTTGTGCCCCGGTCCGGGAAGATCCCACATGCCACGGAGCAGCTGGGCCCGTGAGCCATGGCCGCTGAGCCTGCGCGTCCGGAGCCTGCGCTCCGCAACGGGAGAGGCCACAGCAGTGAGAGGCCCGCGTACCGCAAAAAAAAAAAAAAAAGTTATACTGAAGTATACTATTCGTACAAAAAAGGGCACACATCATAAGTGTGCAACACTACGAATTTTCACAAAGTGAGCACATCATGTACGCAGCTCCTACAGTGCCCACCCTACACCCAGACAGGAAAGTGGACCAAGGGCTAGACCCCTCTCTGCATGAAACAGGGACTTGGGGTGCTGGCCCTTCTGTGAAATCTAGAAAACTGGCCCTGTAGCCAGAGAAGGACATGGAAGACTGCCACCTGCCCAGGGCTCTGGACAGGGAATGAAAGCTTGCTGGAAAAAGTCAACTTTCCTGGTTTGAATGTATCTGCAAGGGGCAGCACTACGAAGCCAAGAAATGTACATAAACCCCATCTAAGCCTGATGGGACCCTGCAATCCTGGCAGAGGCAGACCAGAAATGCTCTGGAGGGACCCTCCCACCACCCCGGGGGCAGAGACCTCGCTGGAGAAAAACACTCTTGCCCAATATGATCTCAAAAAGAATTAGAACCCTTAGGAGAAAATGAAATTATTTAGTCATGTGGTACGTGTCTTAATACTGGCGCAAGAGCTCCAGTTTTCTCTCTACACCGCAGGCAAAGTGAACCTTTTGAACCGTAAGCATGGATCGTTCTGTTAGAGGGAGATCACTTGATAAGATGAAGTCTTTCATCACCTAATAGGGCGAAACTCCTTCCCCTCCACCCCACACACGCTGCTCAAGACATGCCGTCTCTTTACTGTCCCTCAAGGCCTTGTTATGGGGTGAACTGTGTCCCTCTCCCTCAAAAAAAACCCCGATATGTTGAAATCCTCCCCTCTGGTACTTGGAAACGTTATCTTATTTACCAGTAGGGTCTTTGCAGATGTAACCAAGTTCTGATGAGGTCAATAGGGTGAGCTCTTAATCCAATACGACTGGTGTCCTTCTAGAAGGGAAGACAGTTATGGGAAAAGAGACACACAGGGAGAAGGCTACATGACCACAGAGGCAGAGATCAGAGAGATGCTACAAGGCGAGGAGAGCCAAGGGCTGCTGGCCACTGCCAGAAGCTAGGAAGAGGCAGGAAAGGATTCTCCCCGACAGACTGCTGAGGGAGCGTGGCCCTGTTGACTCTGACTTGGACTTCCAGCCTCAGAACTGGAAGACAATACATTTCTTTTTTTTTTCAGTACGCGGGCCTCTCACTGTTGTGGCCTCTCCCATTGCAGAGCACAGGCTCTGGACACACAGACTCAGCGGCCATGGCTCACGGGCCCAGCCGCTCTGTGGCACGTGGGATCTTCCCGGACCGGGGCACGAACCCGTGTCCCCTGCATCGGCAGGCGGACTCTCAACCACTGCGCCACCAGGAAAGCCCCCATTTCTGTTGTTTTAAGCAGCCTGGTTTGTGATATTTTGTTCCAGCAGCCCCAGGGAACTAATACAAGCCTCAAATGTGTTCCAGCACTTTCTGATCCCTCTGCTTGCAAAGCCCTTCCACAGAGAACCTCCCTCACTCCCCACAGGCCCCTGTTCAACTGGCACCTTTGCGGAGAGGCCCTGTCCCACTGCACCCCCGAAACTAACATTTCCTGCCTCTCTCCATTCCTTTGGCTCATTTATTATTTTTCTTCATGGTTCCTAGTCACAGCTAACCTTATGGAATGGATCTCTTGTTTATTGTCTGCCTTGCCTTCTAGAATGTAAGTTGCATGAAAGTAGAGATAGTCCAATTCATTGCTGTAATGCTCAGTGCCCACCACGTGCCTGACCTAGGCATGCCCTCCATACATATTTGTGTCATAAATGAATGAGCTACTTGAGAATACAGTTTATTTTTTTATCCTTCCCAGTATCCGATATAACGCTTTGCTCATAGTAGACTCTCAGAAAATATGTGCACATGAACTAATAAACCCATCATCACTAGTGGGCTTAAGGCTCTGCGTGGTTAAGAGTGGCAGTCAAAATGCACACCGCATTGGCCTGCATTTGGTGGCCTCTTTGCTTAAAACAGTTGTGGGGACAATCGGTCAGGTTTCTCTGAGTAATCATCAGAGCTCACCATTTGTCTGCTTCACCCAGCCACTGTGTCTCTTGCACTGAAAGCCCCCATCCTCGCCCTGTTGTTCTGATTAAGGAGACAGAATTGAGTAATCTAAATTTAGTTTGTGTAGCTCAGAGGTGCCAATCATGGCAAATAATGAATTAGGGGACCTCCCCCCACCCCTTTCCTGAAGTATTGAGCTGAAACCAACGATTCATTTTATTTAGGATCACAGGCTGGATTCTGAGTGCTGTCTGTGAGAAGAGAATGCTTTCTTCACTAATTAAGTCACCAGAGCTCAGGCAAACCCTCTCCCGGGTGGTGGGAGTGCTGCTTATCTGAGTTGGCCCAGAGAATGTGCTTTCTGTTTGTTAAGGGAAGTGGTTATAATTTTGGTACAGATATTTAAGCCAGAAAAAAATGCATTTATATACACGTACATATGTGTATATGTACATATATATATAAATCTCATATAGTTTTATAAATTTCTTTAGCCTTTCAAGGGCTTTCTGGATTTCTTAGTAAAACCCGTATTTAGAATTCACATCTTCTGATTTAAGGGCTGTGTTTTCCTATCAGTTTTGAAAAGGACCCATATAAAGCATGTTTTATCTGTTTTCACTTCAAAAGAACATAAAAATTTACTCACTGAAAAGCTGTTGTATTTGATGCTTTTTGTAAGAAATAAGCCATAGATTAGAAATAACAAATGTCATGAAGAGCTCTTTGGGGAAAAATAATGAAGTTCTGTTTCCATTTGTAACCTATGAGTCTTAATATGTGTGTCAGGAGGTTTTATACATGAGTATAATTTTGAATGAGTTTTTTAAGAGTCAGTAAAAGGAAAATGAATGAAATGGTGCTGATTCATGTTTTAAAATGTTATTATGTTGATATAGTTAATAAAACATGGTTTGTTAGTTCCTTTTTTTTTCTGGCCAGATACAAATTTAACTTGCCCCAATGTTGATTACATGAGATTTGGTACCTTTATGCCTTGTCACTAATCATCAGCATTTCCCTGGGAGGGACCAGAAGACCCCTGCTATCTCCACTTAGCAGGAGCGGTACAGCACCCGGGATGGAAGGGTGACTTATCCTGGGCCTCCTGAGCCGAGAAGAGCCCACATAGCTCAGTCATTAAAAACCCTGGGCTTTTTCTACTTCTCTGGCCTTGTCAACACTTTTTCCAGCACAGCATTTCAAACTGTAAAGACGTTTTGTGTAGTTGATTTAAAAGCAATGGGTTTAGACTTTAGGTAGAGGAGTATATTATCTATAAAGATCACCTCTTCAAAGGGCAAATTAAACTAATGTAATTTTCATTCTGAGAATGGAGAGCTAGCAAAATGTATAGGAAAGCAGTTGATACGAGGAGCAAGTTTTACTGTCTGTTTCTCAGGGGACACCTCTTGCCTGATTTGAAGATCGTGTAGATAATATGAAAGGCAATCCACTTAAGTTGACATTTTACACCAAGCTGAAAACCAGAAAGAGGATCCACTTTAATAATAAATAAACGAATTCAATCAAGAGCATACATTTTAGCTACAGAAAACTGGTTTTGCACTCAATCTAGACTCCATTTTCCTGGAATGTTCCACGTGGCTTGCCCCCTTACTTCCTCAGGTCTTTGCCCAAATGTCAATGAGGTCTTCTCTGACCCATCTATTTCAAATTGCACTAGCCTCCCCTCCCTCATCTCCCTTACATAGCTTCATTCTTTCTAACGCTCATCATCACCCTAAATACTACATATTGTGATTATTTTCTGTCTCTCCCCTAATCCCTATGTAAGTCCCTTGTCTGCTCTGTTCACTGCTGTTTCCCCAGTGCACACAGTAGGTGCTCAATACTTGTTCAGTGAATGAAAGAATGGTGCCTGACACCTTTCTATTCCAAAGGTTGGTCTTGTACTTCGAGACACACTGAGCATTAGGGTCAGATGGGCGGGCAGAGGTGTGGGAATGTAGCAAGGGCTAGAAATGCGGGGGGCACCTGTTCTGTGCGCGGGATTGGGGCCAGGCAGTCACCCTGCGAAGGTGCACAGACATGATACTGACAGACCTCACCGTACCAGCCCACCAAAAAATGTGTTTGCCGGACTGGCCTTCACTTTTCCTAATGCTATCACGTTAGCAGCCTAATGTTTGCTTTCTGGTCCCAGCTGTGAAACTCTGCTGCATAGAGATACTACAGAGGAACTTAACAAGTATGTCATGAGTGTCTGATATAAAATAATTCCTTTTCTCATTCTGAAAACAAAGCAAAATAAAACAGGGTCGGTACAGTTGTGCTGTAACTAGGCCACAAAACTGGTGAATTGAGGCAAAAGCATTGTCATATGTAAGTGATAGTAGTGGAAATGTGAAGAAAGTTCTTTGCGTTGTCATGGCTGCAGTTCCTGCCTTGGTCAGGTGGGCGCATGCAACCAGGGCGTTCGTTCAGGGCGACCCGCACGGATTTTTGGTGGTTTGGGTGGAAGGTGCCAGTTGCACAGCCTGGGACCCTTTCTTACCCTGGGGACCTCGCTGCTGCAGGGCGGGCTCCCGGGGAGGGGCGTGTCTCCATCTGGCCCCGCCCCTGAAGCCCCGCCCCTGCCCGGCACCAATGAGCGGGCGCACAGCCTGGGCGCAGGGAGTGGCCGCGCCTGATAAGGAGGCGTGGGTGGTGGGTGTTGAGGTCTGCTGCTAGTCGTTGGTGGGGCCCGCGCCTGGGTGTGCTGCAGCGGGAGGAACCCAGGTCCCGGGCCGAGGCTGCCCCGGGAATGGTTTTAGTCAGCACAAACATGGCTGCGGCCCTGCGATCTGCGGGCGTCCTGCTCCGCGATCGGCGTAAGTGGGGCTGTCGCGGCCGCCGCCGAGGCGGGGACAGCGGGCAGCTGGCGCCGGGGTCCCCGGGCCTGGGAACTTCCAAGGAGCGGCGGCGGGCTGCGCAGGAAGCTGCCCGCGGCGGGGCGAGGGGCGGAGAAAGGATCCGGAAAGGGGCGCTCCACTGGGAGGGGCGAGAGTGGGTTACGTGGGTCCCCCGAGGACCCTGAGAGGCCGCGGGGAGGGGTCCCGGAGTCACATTGGTCAGCTGGGTGGCCGTGAGCAGTGGCTGAATTTCTAAGAGCCTTAGTTCTTATCTGTAAAATAAGAATAATGATAGTCGCAGGATTGTTGTGATTTCGGGAGGCAGAGTGTGTTAAGGGCCTGCCACAGAGACAGTACCGTTGGCATCATTATCCTCATCACCATGGGCATCTACCCTGGGGTTCCCTCTCTGGTGGTGGAGGTCACACTGTGCCCACTGCTGCCCTGGCCCCTGGCGTCACCCGGTGCTCACTTGTCCTTGGCAGCAGGACCCACCGCGGGGCAGCTCAGGCTAGTATTTTCTAGAGATATTTGGAGAAGAAATAAGACCCATGGACAACCTCACACTTTTCTGATACAGACGTGAATGTAGGTTGTGTCCACAGGATGAGCGGACGGGACTCTGGTTCAGACACAACCTGGCTGGGTCACTAGCTCTGCAGCATTCCTGTGACCCCCCTGAGTGAGGCTCCCTCATAGGCTTGCCGTGAAGATTAGCAGGATACAGGTAAAGCCTGTAGCACAGTCCCTGGCACACAGTAGATACATAGATAACCTCAAAATGTTCAGTTATTATTATGTAAAAGGCTGCCACCTACTAAGATGCTTAATTTGTATATTTGAATGATGACTGGACACAGACCTGACTTATTTTTCTAAGAAGTTCCCTAATTCATCAATCTGTCACCTACTGAAAAGGAGTGGAGAGTCCACTCTGAACCTCCATATCTTATTACAGGTGCCTTTGTTGGAAAAATAATAAGGACCCAGTGTCCAATGACAATCAGGTCACTAAGGGCAGTGGGAGACGAAAGACATTATCTTTTAAGAAAAGGAAGCACAGTGCCAGTAACGGGGCTGAAAGAAGTATCAAATTAGTCTTTTCTTTCACTGACCCTTCCTGTGGCAAAGAAAGTCTGACAGGCTCTAGAGTTGAGGTCATGGAACAATATGAGAAATTTTAAATGCTTTGTTGTCCAGGTTATAAGTAACCAAGTGGAAGGATTCAGAAACCACAGCAGAAGTAGATTTGACGTTCAATTGAATTACAGACTCTGATTTTAGATGTAGTTATAATACTTTATCTTGTTTTATATGAAGGGATTAACATCTGGGTTAGAAAAAATTGAGTAGTATTTCTCAAAATGAATTCTCAAAGTAGAAAAGCAAAGTTTTACACTCTATGTTTTTAGCATAGTACAGAATTAATAAGAAACTCCCTAGTATATATGTATATAGTATATACGTATATTTTAGAAAGTTAATAGAATAAAGAATTATTGTTTCTTTGTGACGTTTTCTTTCCAGATTTTTTACGTTAGGCATATATGTCTTTTGTAATTGGAAAAATCAAATCTAGAATAATAAAAAAGAATATCAATGTTTAAATTAATACATGAAAACATTCTGGCTCCATACTAGAAAAATAACAATTTTTTTCTTAAAGCCTCCCCTCGCCAAGTGTTTATTAATAGTTACAATACAGAACCTTATTTCTGTTAATTTTTAAAATGATACTCATGTTTATAAGGACCTTTTGAAATAATCTTCATCTGCTGTGTGATAGAAAAGGGCTGCATTAGGTACTTGTATATCTTGTTTTCTACCCTCCCACGTACCACCCCCAAGCATCCAAAATATTAAATAATAGTTTTGGAGAATCACTTGATACCCATGAACTTCTTAAGTCACAGGTATACTTTTGAATGATTCACCTATTGGGTGTGTCCAGGAATTAATGAAGTTTTGTTTTCTTACATCATCTTTTCTGCATATCCCTTGGTTTTATAGCTTTTATTGTTTGTAGGCCTTCCAAAGGTAGGCCAGTTGTCCATGCCAAGAGTACGGTTAGAGTTACCTGGTCTTAGTTCATAAGTGGGCAGATCCTTAGTATTAAGTGTTCTTACTTCATGCATTGTGCCAGGCACTGTTCTTGGGGCTGGACATAGATTTTTAAAAATTGTCCTAATCTTTACAACAGCCCTGCAAGTTTGGCCTTATCACTGTTTTACAGATGAGAAAAGTGAGGCTTGGAGTAGCTCAGTGAGTTGCCCAATTACTGTCACACAGCTTGTTTGGTCCTATCTGGAATTTCTGCTCAGATCGCTGTAGCTCCAGAACACACACTACACCACACGATGCTGCCTGTGCCTTCGAATTTCTCTTAAGCTGTGAGCTGAGTGCATTCAGGAGTCTCATTTGGTTCTTTGAATAATTACTTTAAACTCCTTTAGCTAGATTAGTACTAATCATTTGGTAGGAGATACTCTGTTTTTCTGGAGTCTTCAGATCATCAAGGGAGAGGAGTGTTTTAGAGAAGTCCTTGAGAGGTGGGTGTGTTAACCCTATGTCCTGAGCAGAAAGGATCCATCATTAGCATCACCTTCTTTGAGAATTTATTTAACCTCAGAGAAGAGACTTTTGTAAGTAGAGGGCATGGCAATAGTTTTCGGCAGCTTGAAAACCTACCAGCTCCCAAACTGCACTAAGCAATGCTAATGTACTGGTTGGAGACTCTAGTCTCATCCTTATTCCCCACCCCTACCCCACCCCCTTTTAAAGTTTGCAGGAGGAAATCTTATTATATTACCAGCAGTCAAATTATGTAATGCCAAAGTTCTATTCTGATACCCCATGGAATCTGATATAACCTCATTTATATAAGGAATTGCAGACATCGCAGCTTGATTGAGAACCTGGTTAAATCTCATCGTGCAGTTCAGAATTGAACTTGTCTGAAATAAGGAGATGTGAGTTGGTTTGAGACTTCATGTGAGCGGAATTGAAGTTCTTTATGTCAATCTTTGCACTTCTGCTTTGAGTTAATAAGGATTTTTCAGCTCAAGCTCACGTAATTGGCTCTGTTGGGAATGTGCACAGTCTGGATAGTTGGAAATCTAAGTGGCCTGGAAATATCATTCTCCTATATTTTATAGACCTGCTAGGTGATAAAAAAAAAAAGAAAAAAAATCAGAGAAGGTGTAGTCCCTATGCTCTAGACACTTACCAAGGAAAATAGTACTGGTACCAACATATGAGGCAGGCCCTGTGAAGAGTGCTGCACTGGCCTTATCTGCTGTAATCTTTACACGGATGCAGATAACAGGGTTTCACCATTTTACAGCTGGGGAAACTAAGGCTCAGAAAGATTATAACCCAGCCCCAGTTACATTACTAGTAAGTGGCAGAACTGGATTCAGAGTCGGGTCCGTTGGTCCACAGCCCGGGTTCCTCACCAGAACACCTTTGACTCGTAAGTAGGAGGTGGGTAGAAGGAGACTGATCTCAGGCTGGTTTCAGACCTGCTGGTTTGAGACTGGGGAAGGGAGGTTGTGTGTATACTGCGGGGCACGGTAGTAACTACTGTCCTGCATTTTGCCATCTTGAGTACCTACTGTGTGGTTTCAGTTTAATTTCACTCTGTGTTGTTTAAGGATGAGTACCCTTCATGCTATAACTGGGTATGGCCCGTGGACTCCTCGATCCAGATAGGCTCTCCAGGCCCACAACTAACTTTGTGGTGCCCAGGACAAGACCCGTATACAGCAAGCTAACAGACTGTGAATTATGTTCTGTTCTGCTGTGCTGACAAGTAGACCTTGCTAACGGCCTGGAAGGGTGAACTCTTGAACTCTTCACAGTTCCTGCAGAAATGCCGCGGCCTTGAGAAAGTTGCCTCGGGCGGGCAGACTTCCCTGCTTCTCTTCCCGCTCCTGGCCTGCCCGGCATGGTGAAGAGTCTTGTGCATACTCCAGTGTGTATGTATGTTCAAGCTCCATTCTTGACCCTATGAACAGCCACCAGTTGGCTACCCTTCAGATCAAGAATTGCTTATACTGATGGTGCGATCTGCCGTCAGGAGGATGGATGCAGGAAAGAGGCCTGCGCCAGACCCTGGAAGTGGAGCTTTTGGGGGCAGGGAATTCTGAGGTCCTGGGTCCTGGGAGCCTGGTCAGGAATGGGGGGCATGGACTCTGGGGGTCCATGAATCCTTGGCCATGCAGATGGCATACCCCATGGGGCAGGGTGCAGAAGGAGGTGGACCAGAATCGGCCCTTGAAAGCAGAGCACCTCCGTCCCCCGGCCCTTGTCAGAGTCCAAGGGCAATTCTGGGGTTCTTAGTTCTGGTACTATATTGGAGAAGGCTAGGAGGCAGACATGAGATCTGTGCAAGTGGTGGAAAACAGGCCCAGTTTCCACTCCTTAAATCAGTGTTTCTTAACCTTTTCTGCAGGCTTCTCACCTTTCATATGAGCAGTATGCTGCCGTCATAACATGCATGATCTCATGAGGGATCATATCAAAAGCGGCGGCCAAGGCAGTGAGAGGAGGTGTGTGTGGCTTCTAAAAAGCCTCCATGCAAGTCCTGTAAGCCATCCTAGGGGACGCCATCCCACCCCCTCAGAGAGGTCTTAAGAGCCTTCACCTGCCTGCAGTGAAAGCTGGGGAAATCACCTCTGCTGTAGCATCTCTATTAAATTTTAGATCCAGGAATTATGCTCTGAGGACCTCTTCAAAAGCAATTACTTTCCAGCTAGATTTCATGCTGCCACTTTACTTTTGTCACAGTGGTATATGGTGGCTCAAGGGCCTGTCAGCCACGGAGGTGCCAGTCGAGTGCAGCCACAGCAGCAGCTGCCACAGAAACAGCCCAACGTGCCAGAAGCCCCAGACCTCAAGTCCAGCCGGGGAACAGGTACGAGTCTAATTTTAGGTACTAATAAGGATTTCTCTTTCTTGACGCAAACACCGGTGGATACCAGCTACCTAGGAGCAGAGGTGTTGGGAAAACCCAGCATGTAAGGAGTGGTATGTTATTTTCCTGGCTTGCTTTCAATAGCTGTGAAACTTATAGATTGCACCCCCAATTAAGGCTTTAAAAGTGTTTTTGAATTTTGATAGATTTTTTACATTTTCTGTTAAAATTTTTTTCCCCAGCTTTATTGAGGTCTGGTTGACAAATAAAAATCCCACAGGGCTTTTGTTAAAGGACACAGAGTTGAGTACAAACAATCTGCAAATCGTGTGGGAATTTAGTTTTGCAATATGTCCCATAACAGAAATTATGTGTATGCTGGAAATATGTTTATGAACCTAACATGATTATACTTATGAAATACATCTCCTGTGCAGGAAAAGGAATAACGAATCCACCAAGAATTTCTGTAGTAAACTGTTAAGTCAGTGAATATTATTGTAAATGCCATAATGTGATTTACAGTTTATTAAAGAAACAAGGTACGTTCCCTACCTCACCTCTGCTGTTTGCGGGTGGACGTCAGCAGGCATGGTGTTGCTACTGGGTGTCCTCTTCAATATCAGAGGCCACAGCTGTTTTCAAGTCTTCCTCTGGTACAGAGGCAACAGAAGACTGCAAAGGTCGCTTTTTAGATGAGTACACAGATAGGAGTAATGCACTTTAACACTGGGCAGAGAGAAAGTAGCTGTGAACTATTAACGCCTTGACCTTTCTGGTAGACCAGATGTTCCACGAGAGCTTTACAGCTTTGAAAATAGTCATATTTTGTGTTTGTTACTTTTAATTGTGTGATCCTGGGTATGATGATGGAGCACTTAGTGAACTGAGGTTTGTTGGGGATACGGCAGTAGGGTGGGGTCCCAAATCATCTCCTTTTGACTCTCCGGCCTCCTGAAAAACCACACGTGGGAAGGGAGACAGGAAGCACAGACACTGTCTCCATCCAGGGGGCATGCCCAGCAGGACGCCACTCCTCCTTGCCCCCCACGGCCCCTCTTTTCTCACCTCAGCCATAGTACAAAGTGCTTTAAGTATTTAGGGTTTGGGGTAAGTATTCGGTGTAAACTGAAGAACTGATTGGACGTGGAACCCTGGGAGAAAAATTATTTCATTACTATGTTATCCTGGTGGCAAAAGTCAACAACATAAATTGCCTTAAGGGCTTCCCTGGTGGTGCAGTGGTTGAGAGTCCGCCTGCCGATGCAGGGGACACGGGTTCATGCCCTGGTCTGGGAAGATCCCACATGCCGTGGAGTGGCTGGGCCCGTGAGCCATGGCCGCTGAGCCTGCGCGTCTGGAGCCTGTGCTCCGCAACGGGAGAGGCCACAACAGTGAGAGGCCCGCGTACCGCAAAAGTAAATAAATAAATAAATAAATAAATAAATCACCTTAAGATTAAATTATTAAAATTGAATAAAAATCTAAAAAGACTCCCAAATTCTAGTAAGTAACTTTATATCATATTTATACAAAAGAAATCGGTTCATTTTAGGAAATACAGACAGGAAAAAAAAAATCACTGATAATCTCACCACCCAGTATTTTGTCTCTATACCTGTATCTATTAATATTTACTCAGTATATATTTATCATAATGTGATAATACTACATATATTATTTTTATAACTTCCTCTTTTTATTTAATGTCTACCACATAACTGTAAAAAGTCTACATAATTTTTATAGCCTGAGAGTATTTTATTAAATCTTAATTTATTTATCCTATCTCATGTTATGGGGCACATAGGTTATTTCTGGGTTTTAAATATTAGAGATGATGGGGCTTCCCTGGTGGCGCAGTGGTTGGGATTCTGCCTGCTGGTGCAGGGGACACGGGTTCGTGTCCTGGTCCAGGACGATCCCACATGCCGCGGAGCAGCTGGGCCCGTGAGCCATGGCTGCTGAGCCTGCGCGTCTGGAACCTGTGCTCCGCAACGGGAGAGGCCACAGCAGTGAGAGGCCCGCATACCGCAAAAACAAAAACAAACAAACAAACAAAAATTAGAGATGCTGAAGTGGTGAGTGTCTTTGTGAGTCATTCTGATGCCAGATATGATGAAGGCCTCGTGCTGCTTAGTGCTCAGACTACTCTAGACAGTGCTACACTACAAATTTGTCCTCAGAGGGCTGAGTGGTACATGTTTTCAGGCTTCGTGGGCCATTTGGTCTTGTTTGCTGCTATTCACCTCCCCCATCATAATGTGAGAGCAGCCACAGGTGATACGTAAACAAATGACTGGAACTCTGTTCCAATAAAACGTTTTTTAAAAAAATTAATTTATTTTATTTATTTATTTTTGGCTGTGTTTGTGTTGGGTTTTTGTTGCTGCGTGTGGGCTTTCTCTCGTTGCAGCGAGCGGAGGCTACTCTTCGTTGCGATGTGTGTGCTTCTCATTGCAGTGGCTTCTCTTGCTGCAGAGCACGGGCTCTAGGTGCACGGGCTTCAGCAGTTGTGGCTCATGGGCTCTAGAGCGCAGGCTCAGTAGTTGTGGAGCACGGGCTTAGTTGCCCCGTGGCATGTGGGATCTTCCCGAACCAGGGCTCGAGCCCGTGTCCCCTGCTTTGGCAGGCAGATTCTTAACCACTGAGCCACCAGGGAAGCCCTGTTCCAATAAAACTTTATTTACAAAAGTAGGCAGGGGGTGTGTGGGCAAATGTGACCCATGGACTGGAGTTTGCCAAACCCTGTTCTAGAGGCAGCATAGATCCTCTGGCCAGTTACATCTTGGAGATTTAATGAAGAGCTGGGATTTGTTTTTTATCTTGATGATGACTTTATATAGTAGAATAGAATTAATCTGTTCCTTTGTTAATTGATGGGCTTAAGTTTTGGTTTGTCCAGTTAATAGTTCAAAGGAAAAACCTCATATTTTGAGAGTGCAAGAATATAAATGGCAAAATGTGGCAACCTTTTCAAATGAGAAGCTTTCAATGTGTTTGCCGTACACGCTTTTACGTTCAAACAAGGGGAACTTGACCATTCAGACTTTGGTGTCAGATGTTCTGTGTCTGGAGGGGAGAAGAGACAGCAACCCTTGACTAAAGCTTTGCAGTTCACATTCGGGAATAGAGGGATGTTGGACTAGGGCTTCCTAATGTGCCATTCGTCATGCACAACACAGTTTTGAATTAAGTGCAAGCGTATTTAGGTATTTTCATGTATAAGATCAACATGGTTTGCAAAACATGGGTTTGCAGGGTAGAGTAACATCCCATTTAAAGCCACTCTTTTTCTGAGCTCAGGTGTTATAGATGAAAAACAGTTCTAAATCCTGTTTGCACATTGATGCCCTCTGTGGCTTAGGTAAGTCTCTTAGCGTGGAGTTTCTTAACCAGTAATCTGTTAACTGGCAGCAATCCATGGAAAAATGCACTTAATTTATTGTGAGTCACAGCTTTTGAGGGTGAGAGACAGAATCCCAGAACACCAGTGGCCTAAGTAGAAAGATTAAGGGAATATTACAATTTCACAATATAATGAATCTGGAATTTTCAGGTATCAAGAAAACAAAACACCAGTTTGTTAATTCATTGATAGGACTTCTGGCCCGAGGGGGTAGAAAAGTTATGGAACAACAACTTCAATGTGGTTGCTTGGTTTAGTAAAAAGAGATTAAACCCCTTTCCTCTAACACAGTGGTTCTGAGCAGTGGGTGGGATGGGGGATCATTTTTGTCCCTGGGACATATTTGGCAATGTCTGGAGACATTTTTGGTTGTCACAGCTGGGGTAGGGTGTGTGCTATTGCCATCTAGTAAGTAGAGGCATGGTTGCCACTAAACCTCCTACAAAGCACAAGACAGTCCCACAACAAAGGATTGTCCAGCCCCCAATGTCAGCAGTGCTGAGGACAAGAAACCCTGGCCTAAGACAATGATGTGAAAAAAGTGAATTTGCTTAATCTATATAATGGGGTCTAAATTAGAAAGTCCCTGAGTTCATTGTAATGCAGCACTTCCCTTTCCCCAGAAATTGGTTCTTGTTTTGAAAACTTAGGCTGAGAATTCAGATTTCTACTTCATCCACCTATACTGTGTTTGATCAAGAAAATGGTTTCTACTTGTATAAATTTGACACACTCTGTTGCCTAAAATTATTGCCAAACATTATTAACATTTTTTCAAAAATTACAATTAAAATGTCATCATGATATCATTAGCTTTAGAACACTTGAAGAGCAATCTTCCAAACGAGACCCATCTCAGCAGGATTGCGGTAGTCACTGCATCAGCTAGAGGTGGTCCTGGCGTAGGAGATTTGGAAAGTAGACCCCTCGGCATTTGTAATAATGGTGTTTTAAATGAACATCAGGCTGCTTGTTCCTCGGCTGCTTCATCAAGAGTGAGTGGAGAGGATACCCACACGTTGGAATATTATTCAGCCACGAAAGGGAAGGAAGTACTGATTCATGCTACAATATGGGTGAACCTTGCAAATTTTATGCTAAGTGAAAGAAACCAGACACAGAAGGCCACATATTATGACTCTATTTCTGTTGATAGGCAAATCCATAGGCCCAGAAAGTAGATTAGTGGTTGCCAGGGGTGAGGGAGAGGGAGAATGGGGAATGGCTGTAACGGATAAGTGGGGTTTTGGGGGCTGAGGAAAATGTTTAGGAATTAGATAGCTGTAATGGTTGCCTAACCTTGAGCATATATTAAAAAACACCAAATTGTACAGTTTAAAATGGCAGGTGTTATGGTATGTGAATTATATCTAAATGTTTACAGTGCACAAGAAGAAAAAAAAGGATGAGTGGAGAAACACTCCTTGTCCTTTCTTTTCCCCACCAGCAGCCTCTTTCACTCCTGTCACAGGAGGAAAGACAGGCCCGCAGTTCTCCACGCTCCCATCTCAGGCTTTGACCTTGTGGCTCCGACCAGAGTCATGGTCTTCTGGTGGCTCCCCGAAGCTCAGGGGAGACACTTGGTCCTGCTCTGGCTCCAGCTTGCCCCCTGGCTGGTTTAGGAATAGAGAACTCATCCTGGCCTGGCTCACTTCGGCGGTGCAGGCCTCAGAGCAGCTCTGGATTTTATAAGTTTACATTTTTGCATAGTCCTTTTTAAAAAAAATTTCCCAGAAGCTGCATGATTTTTTTTTTGTTTCCTTTTGCTCATCCAGTGGTTGATTCTTTAGCCTGGGACTAATCTGAACAATTCAGAACAGTGTTTTACAGGAATTACCTAAGTAGTGGGTTTTAGATGAAGGATGGCGAGGTGAGTGTAAAGTGGGAAACGTAGTTTATATCACAGCAGGGGACACTGAGCAGGAGTAAAGACGGGCTCTGGAGAAGGAAGCAGAGTAGCAAGAAATAATTTAAGCCATTAATAATTTAATAATTAACTAAAGAGAAGGGAGTAAATAAGGGCTGATAGTTTCCTGGGGAGGTTTAAAATTATAGGGAAACCCACGGCTCCTCTGTGTAGAATAGAACCTACTGTTTGTGGCAGCTTATGCTGAATAAGTACATTATGCACTTAATTCTCAGAATAACTTTTTGAGGTAATGGGTGGACTCTCTATTTTACAGATGAGGAAACTTAAGCTTGGAGAGATCAGGTAACCTGTGTAGGCACGAGGCAGTCATATGAACAAGTGTTTCAGCCTCAGGACAATTTTAGGTTTACACCTTGACCCTCAGCCCCCAAAGAATGGGATCTTTGTTCAGGGCTGACAGTTTAATAGAGGAATATTTGGAGCCCAGGGAAAGTCCAGGGACAGGGATGGAGCTAGACGGTGAAGGTCAGAGTCTGAGCTGGGACCTTGGACTGTGCAGAGCTGGAGGCCTCATGTGTTCACTGTGATGGCAGTGAAGAGATCTGTAGCTTTTCATCTTTGCATTGAACAGATTAGATGAGAGTTTGCTAGCAGAAACAAAATTCTACCCTAGAAGTGTTACAAATCAATTGTTGCCTTTTGATTTATGTAGGAAGCCGAAAACTGGAATATTAATGCTGAACATGGGAGGCCCTGAAACCGTCGGAGAAGTTCACGACTTCCTTCTGAGGCTCTTCTCGGATCGAGACCTCATGACACTTCCTGTTCAAAAGTAAGATACATGTAAATGCCTATACTTATCTATAACCTGTGCAGTGCATTTTGCCTTCCATGTATCTCAGTTCTGTAGTTAAAAAATAAATAAATAAACGGTTTTAGTGCACATCTGGTAGTGCTAGAGCAGCATTCTTATTTTCTATTAGTTATGAGAAGGCTATGATGTAAGAAGAATTGTAGGGGATAGAGAAAGCAAGTTAGCGAGGATTCCCCTTGGGCCGTTTCCTTCCCAGAGCTCTGGAAATTGCAGCGGTCTGGACACAGCTGAAGGAGCTATAAAGATGTATTTGTACTTTGTACTTAACTAACACTCAGGGAAGCAATGAGTATTATTCATTGGTGCTGTGGAATTGAGTTCTTGCCGTCCTTCTTCCCTTCCTTTCATTCTTTCCTCCCTGTTTTCTTTATTTTTTTTTTGAGGTATGATTGATATTTGCTGTATATTTTGATGTGTATGACTGAGTTTCACAGTATCTTTTTTTAAAAATTGGAGTATAATTGCTTTACAATGTTGTGTTAGTTTCTGGTGCACAGTGAAGTGAGTCAGCTATATGCATACACATATCCCCTCCCTCTTGGATTTCCCTTCCTCCCACCCCTCTCCCCTATCCCACCCATCTAGGTCATCACAGAGCACCCAGCATAGGGTTTTTTTTTTTTTTTTTTGCTGTCTGCGGGCCTCTCACTGCTGTGGCCTCTCCCGTTGCGGAGCACAGGCTCCGGACGCGCAGGCTCAGCGGCCATGGCTCACGGGCTCAGCCGCTCCACGGCATGTGGGATCTTCCCGGACCGGGGCACGAATCCACGTCCCCTGCATCGGCAGGTGGACTCTCAACCACTGCGCCACCAGGGAAGCCCAAGCATAGGGTTTTTTAATTAAAAAATTTATATATGCATACGATAAAAAATTGCAAATAGTTAATAAGTGTTTATAGTAAAAAGCAGGTGTTTCTTTCCCCTTGGACTCCAGCCTCCCACTTACCCACCCCGGAGGTAAGCACTGTTAGGTCCAGAAATAGTCCAGGCACATCCAGGTGTATATATACATGCACACACACACACACCACACACACACACACACATACACACATACACTTTTTTGCACAAACGTGAATGTACTTATGTACATCATTTGGCACTTTGCTATTTTTTTTTTGAAACTTAATTTTTCTTGGAGATTATTCCATAACAGATTATATAGATCTGGCTCATTCTGTTTTCATGACTCTATGGAATTGCACTGTATGGTCATACCTTAATTTATCTAACCAGTGCCTCACTGACGGACACTTAGATTGTTTTCAGTGTTACAATGAACATTCTTGTGCATACATCTTTGCTCACGTGGGCAAGTATATCATAGGATTAACATGCATTTTCTTAAATAAGAGGGCTGCACGCTGCCTAATGTCTTGTACGTCCTAGTTCCTATTAGGTACAGGATCCAGAGGTGGTAAGTTAGTAGCTAGCACACAGCCAGGTGCTCTGCACAGGTGTCTGAGCTCCTGAATCTTCAGGGCCTACTGCTAGAACAGCTTGTAGGGCAGGGTGGATACTCCTCAGAGACTGTCTGGTTCTCTCTCTCTGATCTGGGCCGAAAGAGCAGGCTGTTGTCAGTGACCTCGAGCTTCTGGTTTTAAAGGCGTGATCTTAAGAGGCTCTTCTTAAAATTTTGCTCATCTTTTTTTTTTTTTTTAATTGAGTAGAAAATGTTTCTGAGGTTACTTAGCTGGAATAAAATGATTTCAATGTTCAATGATTTAGTAAGCTGGGACCATTCATTGCCAAACGCCGAACCCCCAAAATTCAGGAGCAGTACCGCAGGATTGGAGGCGGATCCCCCATCAAGATGTGGACTGCTAAGCAAGGGGAAGGCATGGTGAAGCTGCTGGATGAGTTGTCCCCGCACACAGGTATGGTGTTTCTCAGCTCACATCTCACTAGGTTTGTTCTTTCAAAGTATAGTTATGAAACTCACAACACTGTTGGAAGCTAAATGCAATTCTGGGTACCAGCAGCTCTCAATTTGCAGGGGGTCCTACCTGATGCCCAGCCACTGAACTCAGTTCTTGTGGCATTTTCCTTTGTTCCCAGATGTATGCCTTTTCTATTACTTCCTTATGTTACAAATAAAAAAGCTAAAGTTTCAGAACATTAGTCTCAAAAGGAAGTTGGAGGTGTGTGTTAAGCTGAGCTGGATTATAAGGAAGAGGCTACCTACCATGAAAAAACAGATGCATACATCATCGTCCTGGAAAGAAATCCTTGGGAAATAGGTTGAGGCTGCTGCTATTGTTGTTTCTGTGTGGATGACTAATTAGATCAGCATTTAGAGCAGAATTAGCTAGCTGCTACTGCAGCCATGAGGCTCTAAGCAACTTTCAGCAACCGCTTTCAGCTCTTGGCAACACCATGATCGTGAGTCATTTAAGTGCCTCGTTGGGCATGGCACTAAAAAGAGGATTGCGCACATCTGGTGACTGTTCTCTGAGAGCCTCTAACGCAAATTATAATGTGCAGAATGAAACATTAACTACACGAAGGAACTCTAAGTGCCATATTTAATTGCATTCAAGACACCATTGATTGCTGGACGCACCATTGTTTTTATATAATATGAAGACACAAGACCTCTGTCAGTTAATTTTAAGATGGTGTCTGTTGTAGACCAATATGAGGTGTTAAAACAAATACTGTGCATCTTAGGACACATGAAATGTGTTCATTGCAGACAGTTTAGGGCTCAGGATCAGGACAGTGTGACACAGTGTGGACCCTCATGGAGAGCAGCCCCGCTAGGCAGGACCAAAAGCGTTTCATTGAGCAGCAGCTCGAGTTGCTCTCAGAATCCACTGTTTGTGTCACACATGGGACAAAGGGCTCCAGCCCTCAGCAGAGCATCTCACTTGGAAAATTGTTCACTTGTGCTTTTGAATATTAGGTTTTCTCCCTGCCTTCACTTGTGGCTTCAGGGCATTTCTTATACAGCTCAGCCACATGTGACACAGTATATCTTTTAAAATGTGGGGTGAGGGAAACTCGCTGACCTCACCTCACACCTACCCGATGGAGAACAAACTCTCTAGTCATGAACTGCTTATCACGATAAAATGTTTAGCGTGAACCAGATCTGCAATTGCTATGCTGTCTTCGGTGGACGAAGGCAACGGAAAGATGCCATTTTTCCTGGTGACGTCTTAGTCTAGCACCCATCACCATAACAACCCTAGTAGAGCTGTCAGCCTTGAAAAAGGAGTATACATGCGTCCTTCCCACTTCCTTCTTTCTCTGTGGTGAGACTGCTGGCTTGTCCAGACCAGACAGGCCAGCAGTGGCCTCTGCCTCCCTGGTTGGTCTGGAAAGAGTCCCATGGAATGACCTGGATGTATAGCAGTGTCCCACTCGCTATCAGATACCTGGTGTTGATGACCCTAGGGCATATCACCAGCCTCTGTGGCCCACGCTGGGACCCCCGAGGCAGGCAAGTTCAATTCTGCCTTTCTGCTGCGTGGTAGATGACCACCTCATCATTTAAGCAAGCCTGCTTTGGGGGTGTTTAATGCGGCCCAAGACCACCCACGCGTTCATTCATCAGTGGCCTACTGAGTGCCCTGCGCTGGTCAGGACTGCTACTCACGGTTGAAAAACATGGTTTATACTTACAAGAAGCTTCTAGTCTAGTGGGGCCTTGCTGCTGCAGGCCAGGCTGCTCCAGGGGCAGAGAGAAAAATCCTTTGAAGACTTGCTGGAGGGATACCCTACAAAACGAGTATAGCAGCTGATGATCACACAGAGTGTGGATATAGGAAACAGGAAACAGTCTCAGAGTTTAGCAGGTTCTTTGGGGGAACTTTGCATTGAAGAGCAAGAAGATTACCAGATGTGGCCCTGTGGCCCCCTCGGGGCTCGCCCAGGTTACCCAGAAAGAAGCTTCTTGTCCTGCTGTTCATGCTTTGCTGAGTGGACCTGAAGCTTCGCAGTGAAGCCCCAGCTGCCACTGGGTGGGGCTAGCACTGGGTTCCCTCCCTCCCTTACCCCTTCCTGCTGCTTCTCCTTCCTGCTTTCAGGTTTCCTTTCTTTCTTTCTTTCTTTCTTTTTTTTAACATCTTTATTGGAGTATAATTGCTTTACAATTGTGTGTTAGTTTCTACTGTATAAAAACGTGAATCAGCTATACAGAACACTCTATGACATAAATCACAGCAAGATCCTTTCTGACCCACCTCCTAGAGAAATAAAAGCAAAGATAAACAAATGGGACCTAATGAAACTTAAAAGCTTTTGCACAGCAAAGGAAAACATAAACAAGACGAAAAGACAACCCTCAGAATGGGAGCAAATATTTGCAAATGAAGAAACTGATGAAGAATTAATCTCCAAAATTTACAAACAGCTCAATATGAAAAAGCAAACAACCCAATCCAAAAATCGACAGAAGACCTAAATAGATATTTCTCCAAAGAAGATATACAGATTGCCAACAAACACATGAAAGGATGCTCAACATCACTAATCATTAGAGAAATGCAAATCAAAACTACACCGAGGGGGCTTCCCTGGTGGCGCAGTGGTTGAGAATCTGCCTGGTAATGCAGGGGACACGGGTTCGAGCCCTGGTCTGGGAGAATCCCACATGCCACGGAGCAACTAGGCCCGTGAGCCACAACTACTGAGCCTGCGCGTCTGGAGCCTGTGCTCCGCAACAAGAGAGGCCGCGATAGCGAGAGACCCGTGCACTGTGATGAAGAGTGGCCCCCGCTTGCCACAACTAGAAAAAGCCCTCGCAGAGAAACAAAGGCCCAACACAGCAAAAATAAATTAATTAATTAATTAAAAAAAAAAAAAAAGGGGGTGAAGGAAATGTCCCCTTCCCATTTAAAAAAAAAAAAAAAAAAAAAAACTACACCGAGGTATCCCCTCACACCAGTCAGAATGGCCATCATCGGGTTTCCTTTCTATTCATCTCTTTCTCATTCCTCCTCCATTCTTATACTTTTTTTCCTACAAAATTATAAAATTTACTTTTGAACTGTGTCTATTTGTTTACATGTATTTGGAAAAGTTCTCTTTAGTCAAAAAAAAAAAAAGTGATGATTACAACCGGATAAAAATGTTTCAGACTCTCATTTTTGGGGCAAGTAGTTGTTGCTTGGTAGCCGGTATAGATAGTTTGAGACTTGCACAGGCTCTGCATAGAATTACTATTGACTAATTACAGTGCGTTACATGAGGGAATGTGACTTGGAATTGGTTTCGTGTAGTAATACTGCATTGCAGTCATTTAGTGGACACAGAAGGAAATAGATGAGAAGTGCAATCATTTCACTTCATGAAAAGTCTAAATCTAAAATACATTTTAAAAATTATAGTTTAGTTATACATGGCTGCTTTTAATGAAGCTCTAAGTAAGTGCTACTCAGTAAAATAATTTCGTTCTTTATTGGATGCACAATGGGTTCATTTCAGATGGAGCTGGCTTCCCCATCCCTGGTTGTATGACGTCAGGCAGATAACTTACCCGACTAAACCTCATCTTGAAAATGGGGATGATAACAGAACCCAACTCGTAGGACCACTGTGAAAATGAAATAAGATAATCCTGAAAGGCATTAGCATGGTGCAGCGTACATGATAAAAATTCAGGAAATGTGAGCTTTTATTATTCACCATTGGCACAGGGTTCATGATCTGATACAAGTAACAAAGCATTATAATAACTTCACACCATTCTCTCAAAGAATCATGTACAAATCAGACATTTGAACTATTGCACGTGCTAAATGAATGGACTGGAGATTAATGAAGTTTTACTGTTTAAAAAATGGCTTTTCTATTTGTTCCTTGTTTGACTTCTTTGTAGTTCTCACCCAGGCGTGTTCACTGAGCAGCTGCTCTGAGGGTGGACGAGGCTGGGCCAGCGAGTCGTGTGTCTGGCGCTCACTCTGGCCAGATGTGCTGCCCACCAGATGTGGTGCTAGATGACATCCAGGAGACTCCTTCCTCTCCCCGCGCTCCTGCGGGGGCAGCCAGGAGCCTCCGTGCGTGCTTGTTAGCTCCTCAGGATAGACCCAGTCGGAGACAGTGCGTTGTCACTTTTTCTAAAATATGTCTTTGCAGGCCGTCTTGAATTGGACCGTTTAGAAAGCATTATCTGTTCTTTCCAGAGTATTTTACTCTGTCTCACTTACAGATATGGTCACCGCCCTGCTTTTATCTGTGAGGGAGGCCTCTCCACCTCTCTTAATCTGTAACATTTGAGGAACTCCCAGACCCCAGGCATTTAGGCTACAACTTTCAACTACCGGGCAGCTGGAAAGAAAACAGGAGAAGCTGGTTGACCCCCAGGATTCAGGGGATCTTACTGTGTCAATCTGATCATTGGATTGTCTCAAGATAGATTAGAAAGCAAATTCCACTTCAGCCTCGGCTCAGAGCACCAAGAGCTCCTGAAAAGTGGACTTAATGATGCTGTTATAGTTGGCAGTTTTAGCACGAACCACGTAATCTTTGAACAATCGGTCAATTGGAGTTTGCTTACAGGGCCATGCCCTCTGGGGTGTTTTAACTGCAGGTCACCATATTTTATGCAAGAGACCAAAAAATTGGTAGTCTAGAAGGGACAGGCAGCTGAGAATGATTTCATTTGTATCCCTTCCTTCCTCTGTTTGTAGTTCCCAACCGGAGAATATTGAATCAGACTGTCCTTCCCCTGCACAGACATGCTTCTATTCCCCTATCGATATTCTGCTTCTGTTCTTGGCAACATGTTCCATTGATTCAGTCCCCTGGGTCAAGTTTCTGAGGAATGTTTTCTATATCTATATCTATATGTAGCACACACATATATACATATGTATAAAATATACACACATATGTATATACACACTCATAGAGAGACACACACACACACACACACGCAATAAATGTATCATCTTTTTCTTCACTTCAACCTAAATGTTTCTTGTGGCAATTTAGTGTCATGTTCTTAGTTGAAGCCCTGGCTTATGCCTGGACAGTAACGTCATCTCAGGTTTACTATTACTTAATGTTTATGTAGTGTATTTTCAACTTCATCCCTGAGTATAAGTTGAGTGTCATCCTATGAAAGACAAGGAAATAAAACTGGGTAACTTTAGGAAACTTTCAGTTTTATGATTTTATAAATGCCTGAGAAATTGGTTGAAGATGCTTTAAAAATACAGGAGGAGATAGGAGAGGGAATTGGTAAAGTGATAGGAGAAGGACCGCAAAGATGTGCCCTGACTTGGGCCGTTTAGGTGCCAGAACAATGATTTTTAAATCCCACTTAGCGCCTCCAACTTAAGCATTGTTGTTGGTTTGTTCGTTGATTTGTTTTTCATATAAGTGAGGAGAATCATTTGAATCATTTGTTATTAGTGCACTTTTATCGAGCATCCCAGAGCTTTTATATAAACTAGGTGGCCTGGGGTCTGAGGGAACAGAAGGAGGGGACCCGGGTGTTGGAAGAGGCTGGGGGTGAGCCATGCGAAGGAGCACAGGCTTTGGGGTGGGGAGACCCACGTTGCAATCTCATCTCAACCATCGGCTAGTTGTGACTTTGGGCAGGTTCATTAACCTTTGAGAGTCTGTTTCCTTATCTGAAAAATGGGGTTTAGATGAGAAAAAAAAAAAAGCACAATGTCTCCCATGGTATCTGGTACATGAGAGGAGGTTATACTTTAAGGATAAATGCTCTCTGCTCTTGAGTCTCTCTTACCTCAGCCAAGAGCAGAGAATAAGGCCCAGAAGCTTGAGTTTTAAAAACCATATGCTAAATGGTTGAACACAGAAAACAGTGGTTAAAAATCCATACACCAGCAGAAGCCTGGCTACAATCCAAGGACTATTCTAAACCTGCTCACTTTATCAGCACCATAGGAAATTAGGGTAACTGTCTTTGTTCTGGACACTGCATTCTGTTTGGAATCTATATCAAGATGAATCCTTTCTCCTTTCCACACATGCTTCCTAATAGCCCCTCACAAATACTATATTGGATTCCGGTATGTCCACCCGTTAACAGAAGAAGCAGTTGAAGAGATGGAGAGAGATGGGCTGGAAAGGGCGATTGCTTTCACACAGTACCCACAGTACAGCTGCTCTACCACAGGTAAGGCTTCTCTCTGACAGTGGGAGGGTAGATCTGGCCCTGGCAAAAATAACCAGGGAAGCTGAGCGCGGAAGGAAACGATCAATCATTTCCGATTTGAATGGCAAATCCAGTCTGTCTGCTTTAAACATGAGAGTTCAGGTCAGTCCGTTGGAAATCTCATGGTTCATCTGTCCCTTGAGTTATTAGCCAGTTGACTGAGAATTACAAATGGTGGGTGAAAGGCAGTGGCTTCCAGTGCTCAGTGCTTTAATGCAGCTGTATAATGGATCAGTAATGAACCTTAAGCCACTTTCTATGTTTGTGTAATAACCCTTATTTTTATGGCTACCCTAATATTCTTATTAATGTAGCAAAGTTGATAGCTGTTTCCATTTTGCCAGCAGAGATGTCCATATAACATTGGAAATATAGGTGTTTATTTTGGTTATGCTTTGGTTATGGGTTGGTTCCTGGTTAAACCAAAACCCAGTTTAGGGTTTCCTTTGCAGACTTCTCTCAGTGTTCTAGATTTTGGGAAATGTTACTAGGTGTTGTTTCCTATATATTTAATTGGAGCTGGAGAATAATCTGTTTTGCCAATCTCTGTATCATGAGGTATAGGTAAATCTTCTACTGTCACCCACAAATACATTTGTTTACATCCTTTCTCAAGGCTTGCGGTCAGCACATTTTTACTCCCAAATTGCTTTTGGACATTAGTGCATATTATTTCTATAACTATAAGGAGAAAACAAAAGGCTACTGGAAGAAATCTTGGAAGCCTGGTGTGTGCCTTAAATATTTATTCAGAGCACCTGTGAAAATGTCTGAGCTCTCAGACACCCTCAAGAGTTTGAATTGTGATTTCTTTTGGACATGTACCTCAATAACTTTAAAATGTCTGGTAACGTTATTGGAGAATAAATCAGATTTTATAAATTTCTAAACTCTACTTTGGCCAGGCTTTCAAAAATATAACTCAACATGTAAATGTCCGCTCTCAAAATTAAACAAGTTCAGAAGACGGTTATTTATACGACAAAGGATTGACTAGGGTTTCATTTCACAGCTGGCTCTAGCAGTGTGTTTAAAACAGTAGTGTCTGTAGCTTTTCCCTACTACCTCTGGTGTAAGGGCAGGTACATCCCTACTTCAGAGATGTGAAAGCCTTTGGGAAGCATGTTCATTCTTTGAGGCCACTAGAGTGTCATTTATCTGTTGTTTTATTTAGACACATATTGTGGCAGCACCAGTATATTCTATGTATCAATCACTTTTTTTAATCATGCAATTTTTTTAGTTACGCTTTTCCCTTAATTACTACCTTTGATAGTTCATTGCATGTTTCTGAGTGATTCAGAAGACCTGCTGTGGCTTCTCGAAGTCCTTGTGTACATCTGAAGATGCTGTTCACCTGTGAAACGTGGTTTGCAATGTGAAGATGGTGGTGACTACTTTGTGATTTCTGGAGGGATGGTTTTTGAGCCTGGAATGGACTCAATTTGGATTTATCTGACCCATTGTATTCTCAGAAAAATGGAACTCCATTTATTTTTTTTGAAAATTGAGTCTTAGCCTGAGGGTACATGTGATTTAAATATGGCTTTGTCCTGGCTAGCATTTTAATTTGGAGACCTAACTGATTAATAGTTCTCATGGAGAGACCGGTGGTGTTGGGAAGCGTGGCAATGTTTTGGAGCATTTGCCCCACGTGAAGATTGAAGAGGAGGCTCCACGTTAGGGTTAGTTTCCTAGGATTAAGGCTTGGCTCCAGTGCCAGCTCCTCTAGGCCAGGAAAAGAATCGCACTGGGTTGTCACCATCTGCTTTCCCTTAGTCTTCGAATTTTCATGGTTTCCATCTCTTGTTTAGAAATACAAGTTTTGTTAGATTACCTGTAAGGATTTGGTATTCATTTAACTTATTCTAGGGAGTGATGATAATTTTATAAAGCAGGTAAAAACAGAGAATGCGCTTAGAAACCTTAATAAGCTGCTCTTCTTATCAAACAAGCCATTAAAAAGGATGGTTATAAAGCTTTTATTGTAATGTGGAAAATATTCATCTCATAATACTAAGTAAAAATGCCCTAAATACTCAGGATACAAAACTGCACATGTCCTAAAAAGTATAACTTTGTAAAACAAAACAGCTGTAAAGAAAAATAATTGGAAAGAACTACCTTAGAAGAAAACAATGACTGTATTAGCATTCTGGGGTCATGGCCAGCTTCTTTTTTGCTTTCTTTCCCACCCCTACATTTTCTGTAAATGGGGTTGATTACCTTCATAATGGGAAAAAAATTTAACATGCTTTCAATTGTAAGACTTGGTTTTTGCAGATAATGACTGCTTGTATTTCATAAATCCGCTGCCATTGTGCTTCTCTAGAGAAGTGGTCTCAATGCTCTTTGAAAGGCCATTGAAATTGATTGCTTTTTAGTGATCTTCATTTGCAGGGTAGTTAAATCTATATGCATTTTAGAGCATTGAAGTGATTGTAATTAGACTGATTCAGTGCGGAAGACTTACCTGCTTTGAACTTATTACTGCCTTTACTAGTCTGTTTTTTATTTTCACCATAGCCCTCATGCGTGTACTAAGTGGCCCCTGTATATTTCAGGCAGCAGCTTAAATGCCATTTACAGATACTATAACGAAGTGGGCAAGAAGCCCACGATGAAGTGGAGCACGATTGACAGGTGGCCCACACACCCCCTCCTCATTCAGGTAAGCCAGCCACTGCCAGCTGCGTCTGTCACCCCAGCTTCTGGTGTGAGTCAGGTTCTTGTCCCTGCCTGGTCTGTGGGTGTCCCGAGTCTTACTGTTCTCTTACTTAAATTGTGTGCTGGGGATTAACAAAAGGTATTAGAGTCTTGATTTATTATGACAGGAGGAAATAAATTTAAAGATTAAAGGGTAAACTCTTTTCTTTCTTCAGATTAATAGTATTAGTTACAGACCATGGCAGAATTATGTTTTGAGTTTTGTGTTTCACAGTGACCAAAAGAACGTTAAAGATTATGCGAGGAAAAAAAAAAAAAGATTATGCAAGTTGTTTCATTTAATCTCCATTCATAGACTGAACAGCTGACAAACAAATCCTCTATTTTCTAAATCCTTTAAAATATCAAAAGATTTAAAAATTTTAAAGGTAATATATCTACATGTTCTGAGACAGAATAAATTTAACATTTCAATTGAGAAAGTTTCATATATTAAAAGAAATTTCAAATTTCTCCTACATAGTTTATATTTGTAATATTTATAGTAATAGGTGTTTGATTTTAGGAGAATCGGTTAAAGCCACAATTCTAAAGCTTTGAATTGGTGTTATTATGTACCTTTTCGCCCTTTGAATAGGGGAGTACTGCTGGCTATTGTCCTTGATCAAACAAATATTATTTTGTTCTGTTGGTGGAAGTTTCTACCTTCGAGTTAGTTTAGGTAGAAGAAATACTAAGTGATGTGGATTTCATCCGTTTATTTTTCATTCCTCGGACCGTCTCTGGCAAAATACCAGCTTAACACTTTTTTGAAGCCTGGAGTAACTTAAAATCGATAACCACTAGATGGTGGTAGACATCGTTGAAAGCAGGCCGGCTCGCCCCTGAGCAGACGGTGTTTTCCTTAGGCCCGTAGGTGCTGTCAAGGGTTAACGCTTAGGTTGAAATCCAGTTTTAAGTAAAAAGTGCGAAGTGAAAAGGAGGCACCTTCCCTCAGGGATGGGTGTAGTTTTGGTCTCAGTGTGGTGTCCTCCCCCACAACCTCCCTCCCAGTTTGCTCTTTGCTGGGTCCAGTCCGGACCGCCTGAGCCCCAGCCTGGCCTGCCTGTTCTGCTCTTGGAGGCCTGTGACTGGAAACAAGGGGGGTTTCAGGTTAGCACTGACATGTGGTCGCAGAGAACCGAGGGATCTGCACAGCATCTGCCTGCCCTAATTGAGGGAGTAATTAGATTTGCATTAATATTCAGTCCTTTGAAAAGGGGGGAAGCAGAAAGATGGAAAGGTCTCTTCACTGAGGAAGTCTCCCTTCATAAAATGAAAGGGAATTTTAGAGGCATTTATCTGCCCTCCTATATGGTGTGATTGAAGGCTCTGAGAGCCGCCTGCTTCTTTCATTCTGCAGAGGGATTGAGCGTAGAAAATACCGCAGATGGATTTTAGATGATTTCAGGAACACTTCTGCTCGCCTACGGCTCCTCTATTTAGATAAAGGCTGAGTCTGTTGTAAGCTGTAACAAATTGTGTTTCTACTTGCAGTTATGCAAGATGATAAAAGGAAAAAATACTACTCAAATTTTGAGGAAACAAAAATTTATGGTTAGATTTTATTAGTATCATGACGATTACGTGAGGAGATTTGATATCTAGTAGAAATAGAAAAAAACCCCAACTAAACAAAAACTAAAAGTAAAAACTGAAACTAAAAATTGTGTGTTTAGTCTACATTTCTATCAATACGTATTATAGGTAGTAATTACTCAAAATAGTCATTTTACTACTGTATCTAGCTGTTGGGATATTTGGTGTAAATGTATGTTCCAGGCTCCTACTTAAACTTTGCATTGGGCCTCCTTATCTAGGCTTTTGTACAGTCTTTTCTGAGCATCCTTAGTCTCCAAACACTGCAGAGACCACCAGAAAATATTGCTTTTATCTGTATCTAATCCTATCACATTGACTCTATAGGTAAATTATAAATTTTGAAAAGGGAACTAACTCTCTAGGTACCGCTTTGTGCCTTAGAGCATTAATTTGTCAAATTTTGTGGGTTCTGGAAAGATTAATAATATCCCAATATTTATTAGGTAATAATTTACTCATACTATAGTATTAACCACTGATATATCAAAATGCCAACAAGTACAAATTTACATGGTTCTGGTAAATTGTCCTTTATAATTTTTTTAAATAATGCTTTAAAAACCTTTTTATTTGGAAATAATTTCAAGCATTGGAAAAGTTACAAGACTAAGAATAGTATATAAGGAACTCTCATCTCTTTGTTTAGATTCACATATTAATAACATTTATCCCACCTGCTTTATCATTTGCATGCTCTGTGTGTGTACGCATATGTATGTGTGTCTGTGTATACATAATTTTTTTCCTGAACCTTTTGAGAATAAGTTTTTTATACACACACACACACACACACACACACACACACACACATATATACAGAATTATAAAACCACCCTTTACACCTAAACAGCAGGCATATTCTTTTCCATAACAATGATACAATAATCAACTTCAGCAAATTTAACACTGATACTTAAATCTATCTAATCTACATTCATATTCCAATTTTGTCCGTTGACTCATTAATGTCCTTTGTAGCATTTACTTTATAAGTTAAATGACAGAGTGATTAAAGAGTGAGATCAAAGAAAGCCTCTTCAGATCTGGTATTTCAGCACCTATTGTTGTGACTGGGGGACGTGCCAACTAAGGAAGGGAATTAACTGGTCTGGTGGAGAGAGATGTGACGAGGAAAGCGGGCTGCGTTCTAGCCCAGCTTCCGCAGATGCCATGCGGCTGAGCGCGCTGAACGGGCCCCCCAGTCAGCCTCAGCTCCCCGCTCTGTGGATTTAACGAGAGTTATACAACCTCTCATCTGTTGTTATGAAGGCTGTCATGAAGATTGACTCAGTGAGGAAAAGGTCGTAAAAATAGAATCATTTTCTTATTCCTCTGTTATTTCTGTCTAATGTATTTTAATGTGATAGGCCTGAAAGCCAAGCTAAGGGAGATTTAGTAAGACCCTGTAAGCTGTTTTCCTGCTAGCCGAGCAAATGAGAGGTCTTAAAACAACTTCTCCTTCCCATCTGTGTTCCCTTTCCATCTGGAAGTGTGCCCTGTGCCTCCCAAGGGGAAGCGTCCAGAGCGTTCGTTTTCAGTGAGCCATTAGCGAGCTTTAGAAGTTTCCCATCAAATTCCCCAGGCCCCTGAAACCGTTATGAGCCATTTTGATGATGAACCAAAGCAAGAGAGACTGTACAGTTTGCAGTTTTTTTTACAAAGCAGTTCTGATGTTTGAGGGCTTCTCTGAGAGTTTTGGTGTCGCTCTCATTTAAAAAATATTTTCTTTTCCTTCCATGTCTTTCTTCCCACTCCCTCCTTATCCCCCTTTCTTGGTGTTCCCACAGTGCTTTGCCGACCACATTCTGAAAGAACTGGACCATTTTCCACTTGAGAAGAGACGCGAGGTGGTCATTCTTTTTTCTGCTCACTCGTTGCCGATGTCTGTAAGTAAGAACATTCTGTTGGATGACCCAGTGGTAGAGGATTTCGAAATGTGTGACATGGACTCAGCTTCCGTTTGGCCTAAGCCCAGTGCAAGGAGGAACTCTAAAATCTCAAACTGAACTTGGTGCTAATTTTAGACTCGTTTCTTGAAGGCTAATAACAATTCATTCAGACTATACTATTGTGAATAGACATTGTCTTAATAAGTCCCTTTAAAATGGTAACTTGAAGATATATTCCTACATAAGAATTTTTAATAAGTGGGACAGTTAAAAGGAGACTGCTTTTTGCCTGCCCTGTTGAAGGAACTCAGCCTGACGTTTCAGGGTGTTGGATTGTAGACTACGCCACCAGGGAAGTCCTCAACCCCATTCTTTTGTCCTCAAGACTTGGGCTGTTTGAATTCCCGGAAGTGATTAGTTTTTAATTTGCCAAGGCTAGGGAGCACATTTTGGCCAGTGAATATAGAGTGTGTCAAGTTATGATCTGGTTGCTCCTGAGTTTCTCATATTACACTGGGTGTTCATTAAGATACCGCATCTGTGCAATCACTGTTGCATTTGTGGAGACAAGAATTGATGGAGCTGGTGTATGTATGATATACAGAAGTGCTTGGGATAAGCAGCCAGTTTCATCAGCTTAGAACGAGTATTGTACCCTAAAAACATTGCTTTCAAAGCTGGAGAGGTAGAGAATTACATTTTCTCAGGTGTTATTAAGGTTTTAACTCCAGGGGTAATGGAGTTAATACAAGTGTCGTGTCTGGGGCCACTCTTCTAATTGGTCTGTGCTGCCACCTGGTGGTCACCAGGGGCAAGCCCGTTGCAGCTTCTCTGTCCTGCATGTCACCTAAGCGGTGCCAGGTTCAGCAGTAGGTAGCTCTGGAGAGAAATTTCTCTCTTCTGGAAGCCTGCCTCTTCTCTTTTCTGGTCCCATGCAAATTCTCTTCACATGTCCATCCTCTTGCTCTGTCCTTCTCCTTTTTATAACCGTCCTGTGTGTGATGAGGCCGTGTCTGAAGTGCCGGAAGGGAAGCTCTCTAGCCAGGAAAGGAGGAAGCACGTTTTTATACGTGCACGATTCCAGGTGCTGCCTTCTCTCCTCTCGTCTCTCACTTCACTTCCCGTTCCTCCTCTCAAGGACTGAAGATGCTGCTTCCAGGTTTGCTTATTTGGGGTTTTTTTGCTGCCCAGGGTCTTGGGTGAGACTGAGAAATACCATGAAGTCAGGAGGATAGGGATGGGGTAGGGAAGGCAGAGGGATTGTCGAGCAAGAAAACTGTTCTCACAAGCTCTTCTTTTTCCCCTGCATTCGCTTCTAATGACTTTTTCCCTGTAATGACTTTTTAAAAACGTATTATGTTGAAGTCATTTTAGACTTACAGAAAAGTTGCAAAAATAGTACAGTGTTCCCTTAGCTTCTCCTAATGTTGACATCTCACATAACCAGAGTCCAGTGATCAAAACTAAGGACCGAACAGCGGTGCAGTGCTGTTACCTGAAGGCCTTACTCAGATGTCTCCACTTCTTCCTCAGTTGTCTCTTTTCTGTTCCAGGATCCAATCCAGGATCTTACATGGCATTTACTTGTCACGTCTCCTCAGGATCCTCCAGTCTGTGACAGTTCCTCATACTTTCCTTGTCTTTCATGACCTTGATATTTTTGAAGAGTGATTTTAGTAGAATGTTAGTTATTTTGTAGCATGCTCCTCCATTTGGATTTGTCTGGTATTTTCTCATGATTAGACTGAGGTCATGTATTATCAGGAAAAAAAACCCCTGGGGTGGTCTGTCCTCAGTGTAGCATATCAGGGGAACATGCTGGCAGTATGTTTTACTACTCGTGACGTGATCCCTGGTCATTTGTCTAAGGTGGTATCTTCTGGATTTGTCCATTAAAAAGTCACTATTTTTCTCTCTGTAATTACAAATATCTTAGGCAAGCTACTTTGAGACGGTGCAAATATCTTGTTGTTCCTCAGACTTTTGCCCACTAATTTTAGCCTCCATCAGTGGATATTTCTGTGCTGTTCTAATGGTGACTTTATAGTTCCCTCATTCCTTCTACATTTATGTTTCTAATGGCAAACTAACTTTTAGTAATATCATGAAAAGGTTCATCATTTTATTTCGACAGTGTTTGTTGAACACCTACTATATTCCAGGCAGTCATCTATCCTCTATCGTAAGATATGGGAATGAACAAAATAGACAATAATCTTTGCCTCCAGAGAATGGGGGAAGGGGGATGGATGATAAACATAATACATAAGAAAATAATCTGGAACATTAGGAGGTCATAAGGGCTATGGGAAGAAATAAAGCAGGGTAAGGGGGTTAGGGAGTTAGTACACAACTAAATATTAAAGAAGTAAAAGTAACACTTCTACTGAACATTTTCAGAGGTATTAGCAAGCTGTTCTGGCTGTGAGTAGCATTTACAGACGCTGTGCACAAAGCATTGCCACGGTCCGCTGTTGTGGAAAGAGTGGGGAAAAGGGATTAGAAGACACAGGCCATGCTCTTGAGGAGCCTGGAGTCTGAGCCCGCGTGCCGCTTCTTTCTCTTATTCCACTAGTGTTTACTCTGTGTCCACCTGGTCCCCATAGACTCAGTAGTTCTGTACACTGTCCGTACAGCACTCTTTCTTTTCTTTTTTGTTTTTCTTTTTTGCGGTACGCGGGCCTCTCACTGTTGTGGCCTCTCCCGTTGCGCAGCACAGGCTCCGGACGCGCAGGCCCAGCGGCCATGGCTCACGGGCCCAGCCGCTCCGCGGCATGTGGGATCCTCCCAGACCGGGGCACGAACCCGTGTCCCCTGCATCGGCAGGCGGACTCTCAACCACTGCGCCACCAGGGAAGCCCCGTACAGCACTCTTTCAATTTCATTTCTAAAATCAGGGAGTTCCCTGGTGGCCTAGTGGTTAGGATTCCAGGCTTTCACTGTCGTGGCCCAGGTTCAATCCCTGGTTGGGGAACTGAGATCCCACAAGGTGTGCAGCGCAGCCAAAAATAAAAATAAAATAAAATGAAATAAAATCAGCCCCTCAGGTGACTACCAAGAGTGAAGGCCCATCCCTTGTTGCCTCTTCCTTCCCAGCTTTTCTGTCTCATTTTCCCTATTTCAGATGGGGGATTGAAGAAACCCATCCTCCATCGTCATACGTTGTCAGTCTCCCATGAATAACATGGACACAGAATTTGACATGTTCCTAAGGACCTTAGAGATGATTGAGTACAGTGTTCTCCTTTGGCTGATGAAATCCATCCGAGGAAGTTGGGCGTTGAGCTCAGATGGCATGGTCTTTAGCGCAGAAGACAAGGGGCGGCCTCAGGTCCAGGGCTCACGCCAACTCACCACATAGTCCAGGGCTCTCAGAACCCTTCGCGGTGTTGGTGACTGAACACCCGTGTCTCTGTTGCAGGTGGTCAACAGAGGGGACCCCTATCCTCAGGAGGTGGGCGCCACTGTCCAGAGAGTCATGGATAAGCTGGGTTACTCCAATCCCTACAGACTGGTTTGGCAGTCCAAGGTAGGTGGCTTCCACACATCGGCAGGCAGTCAGCTCTCTTGAGGATGTGTATTTTAGGACATAGTTATAAAATGATTAGATTTGGCCCTTTCACGTAGGCAGAATGTTCTGTAACCTGACTGCTCCCATGAGCAGAAAGAACTCTGCAAGCAAATAAGGAGGGAAAATCAAGTGACCACTGGAATTCCTCGATTCCATTGAAACAATAGATTATTTTTAATTGTAATCATAGGAATTGTTATATTTTGCCAGTTTCGAGAAGGATTCAAGCTTAATATAGAAATACCAGAACCCATTAGAGAAGGTGTAAAACGTGGCCTTCACTCTTACAGGGAGGTGTGTGTATGTCCAGGGCAGTGGGCTGTGGTGAGACGTGGGTCCCGGTGTGCATTCATCCTCCTTTCTCACAGGTTGGCCCGATGCCCTGGCTGGGTCCTCTGACAAACGAGGCCATTAGAGGGCTTTGTGAGAGGGGGAGGAAGAACATCCTTTTGGTTCCGATAGCTTTTACCAGCGATCACATTGAAACGCTGTATGAACTGGACATCGAATACTCTCAAGTTCTAGCCAGTGAGGTAAGTGTGGTTATCAATCCCGTTGTGATTTGTTTTAAAAGGAAACTCTCTCTGCAGTGATCTAATTGTGTCATTCAAAACTATTGTTCAGTATATATGTTTGCAGGTACTGTGGCCTCATTGTTCTGAATAATACTTCATCTGAGTACTGATCCGAACACATCAACTTAATTGCATGTTTGCAGCGGGAAAGCACTCTTGTGCCTTTGTAAAACTAGGCAGCCCAGGGATCACTGCAGGCGATATCATTTTGTTTAGTTTGAGTTACTATACCCCTTGAAAGTAATAAAAACTACATTTCCTTAAGAAAAAAATAATTGTACTTCTCACCAGTTTGGAGGAAAAGAACTTTCTTGTTCTATAATTCCTCTTCTTCACCTAAGAGTGCCCTTTACTTGGGCTGTTACACTGCTTCTGGTTGGGTTTCGAGGCACATAGGAGTCATCGCCATTTAAGAGAAGGGCGTGGAATGAACACTGGCACAGTATGTGTAACTTCCTTGACCTCTGTATGCACTCACTTAATTAGCTCTTTGCTACTATGTTGTGATCAGTCTGATTATTGAAATAACAAATACCATTCTGAGTTGTCTTGTAATGTAAGATGGATGTGATTGTCATTCACATGGAGAAAAGCTATTGTTGACCCATCTCGGGGCTTCTGAGGGCCGGCCAGAAACCCGAGTCCACTTCTTAGCATCGTTTCTATGGGAATCGTGGAACCCTTGGGACCCAAGGAGCCCTTCCCTCTCATCTTCCACCAGACCTCTTGGCCCTGGTCACCCCACGTGTGATGGATGGGGCCCCGGCCTCGAAGGATACTTCACCCTCTCTGGGACCAGGGGGCAGGTGCAAGGAAGGGTGGAGAGTGGACTGGGGGAGAGCTTCAGCAGCACCCGACCCCACAGGTCTTTGTACGGATGTACTGGTCATCAATCACACATTGATGAAGGTAGAGGGTGCCTAAGTTACTTGTCAGTAGTTCTGATAAGGAATTTATGGGGAAGTTGTAGTTGGCTAACATGAGGTTGTAGGGTTGTCTATGGACTTCATTTGCCGATGCCTTCTAGGGACTTCCCCAGCAGTCCAGTGGTTAAGACCCTGCACTTCCACTACAGATACAGGCGATCTCTGGTTGGGGAACTAAGAGCCCACATGCCATGTGGCACAGCCAAAACAAAACAAAAAAATGATGCCTTCTATATCCCAGCAATGACCTTGGCTAATGGTGGCTTCGCTAGAAAACTGAAGTGCAATGGTAGTTCATACCAGTGTATTTGGAAAACAAATTTTTGTTTGTATTGCATGATAATTCACTCATTCATATAACCAAACTGAGGTCATCCCTTCGTAATCAAATGGATTATTAGTGACTAACATATTAGCCTATACAGAGAATAAAGAAAACCATCTACTACAGTTAATTTCCTTATTTTGCAGGGAGAATACACTACATTTAAAACTGTTAACTTTCTCTAAAAAGTAGTTTGAAATTTTTGCCCAAAATAGAAATTATTGCTTTTTGATAATAAAAATAATAAAGAACTCATTTCAGAGAAGTGTGACATAGAGAGTAGAACTCACTCAGACTCTTACCCCTGAGAGATATGTTAATATTTTGTTAAAAATAAGTCCCCTTTTCCCTCTAAATGTGCGTGTATCTTAATGAAAGTGGTATTCTTCTACACATTTAGTAAAAATGGTATTTTATTCACACTGTTTTTGTAACTTTTTTTCCTCTTAAAAATGTATTATGTATACATTAAAAATGTATTAGTATACTTTTTCTTTTTTTTTTTTTTTACATCTTTATTGGAGTATAATTGCTTTACAATGGTGTGTTAGTTTCTGCTTTGTAACAAAGTGAATCAGTTATACATATACATATGTTCCCATATCTCTTCCCTCTTGCGTCTCCCTCCCTCCCACCCCTCTAGGTGGTCACAAAGCACCAAGCTGATCTCCTTGTGCTATGCGGCTGCTTCCCACTAGCTATATGTTTTACGTTTGGTAGTGTATATATGTCCATGCCACTCTCACTTTGTCACAGTTTACCCTTCCCCGTCCCCATATCCTAAAGTCCATTCTCCAGTAGGTCTGTGTCTTTATTCCTGTCTTACCCCTAGGTTCTTCATGACATTTTTTTTTCTTAAATTCCATATATGTGTGTTAGCATACGGTATTTGTCTTTCTCTTTCTGACTGACTTCACTCTGTATGACAGACTCTAGGTCCATCCACCTCATTACAAATAGCTCAATTTCGTTTCTTTTTATGGCTGAGTAATATTCCATTGTATATATGTGCCACATCTTCTTTATCCATTCATCTGATGATGGACACTTAGGTTGTTTCCATCTCCTGGCTATTGTAAACAGAGCTGCAATGAACATTTTGGTACATGACTCTTTTTGAATTATGGTTTTCTCAGGGTATATGCCCAGTAGTGGGATTGCTGGGTCGTATGGTAGTTCTATTTGTAGTTTTTTAAGGAACCTCCATACTGTTCTCCATAGTGGCTGTACCAATTCACATTCCCACCAGCAGTGCAAGAGGGTTCCCTTTTCTCCACACCCTCTCCAGCATGTATTGTTTCTAGATTTTTTGATGATGGCCATTCTGACCGGTGTGAGATGATATCTCATTGTAGTTTTGATTTGCATTTCTCTAATGATTAGTGATGTTGAGCATTCTTTCATGTGTTTGTTGGCAGTCTGTATATCTTCTTTGGAGAAATGTCTATTTAGGTCTTCTGTCCATTTTTGGATTGGGTTGTTTGTTTTTTTGTTATTGAGCTGCATGAGCTGCTTATAAATTTTGGAGATTAATCCTTTGTCAGTTGCTTCATTTGCAAATATTATCTCCCATTCTGAGGGTTGTCTTTTTGTCTTGTTTATGGTTTCCTTTGCTGTGCAAAAGCTTTGAAGTTTCATTAGGTCCCATTTGTTTATTTTTGTTTTTATTTCCATTTCTCTAGGAGGTATACATTTAAGATGTTTCTAATTTTTTGCTTTCATAAACTGCTCTGTCATAAACATCATTTTTCCAATTATTTTCTTAGAAATAATTCCTAGCAATGGAATGTAAATGTTGATACATATTTCATTGGATTGTCCTACAGAAATACATCCTTTAAGTCTCCCATGAACAGTGTTTGAGAACACTTGGGACTCCCCTGGTGGTCCAGTGGTTAAGACTCCTCACTTCCACTGCAGGGGGCGCGGGTTCGATCCCTGCTCGGGGAACTAAGATCCTGCATGCCGTGCAGTGTGGCCAGAAAGAGAAAAACAGTGTTTGAGAACACTGACCAACTGGTTATCCTGCTGTTACTTCTACATGAAGTTTTGGAATATGATCAATGTCTTTTTAAATTGAGAACTATGTGTTTGCTGAATCTCACCATTTTCCCCTTCCCAGTCTTCTAACTTAAAAGATAAAGCAACAAAAAGGCCATCAGCATTTCAGAAAGGGAAAGAGAAGATCCTAGCTACCTGAGTAAATAAGAATTAGATACTTCTCAGTTATTTGGGGGATAATTAGCTGGAATCAACGGGATATTTTTGGAGAGGGGAGCAGGGATGGTTGTAAACAGTCCTTAGGTTTTTAATTTAGATTTTTCTATGTAAGAATATATTTAAAAATCCAACTCTGCGTATTGGATCCAATCTAGTTTCAATATACATTAAATTAATTTACCTCTTTTGGCACTTGGAATCAAAACGTGTAAAAATTTAAGTCATTATAGCAACATTCTGCTTAGGTAGAGTCTGTAAAAGTATGCATTAGAAAGGTAGACTAAAAAAAGAATAGTAAGCAGATTTAAATTACTTGAGTATTCTATCAGATACAAACCTCAAAAATGGTTTGGAAACAAAGCACCCATGGGAAGGTAATGGGATGAGGGAAGGAATAGAAATTGAAGAGCAATTTTATGATAAAGGGGTGAAAATCAGCATCTATGTCTGGTCCCGGGACTGTTTTTCATTTCTGGGTAGTCTGGGAACACTTTGGTACTAAGACTTCGAGTTGTGTTTGTGTGTGTGTTTATTTATTTTATTTTTTGTAGCAGTTTCTTTAAAAAAAAAAATAAAACGTGTATGTGTTTTTCCTCCCTTTTCTCATTTGATTTCAGTGTGGGGTTGAAAACATCAGAAGAGCAGAGTCTCTTAATGGAAATCCACTGTTCTCGAAGGTATCTCTAGTGTTACAACCATTTTAGTAGAACATGTCGGAGAGCAGTCCTCTGAGAAACTCTTACAGAATATTGGTTTTCTCACATATTAGAACATTTTGAGTTCCAATTAATTACAAAAATAAAATCGAATCCCTTATGCTCTCGCTCTTTTCTCCTTTAGAGAGCCCCAGTTTTCTTATTTCTACCCACCTATCACTATGTCTAATTAAAAATCTGCCTTTCAGAGACAAGGTTCAGCAGGTGGGGTGAGAGGATTTCCTTCTCTAAAACCTGTATTTGAAACTTTTCTCTAAGCTGAGAATTCTTAAGAAAGGAAGACATCATAGAATTGGGTTCAAAGGGTTCATAGGTTTTGAATGGGGAGATGGGCGAGGGGAGGTGTGGGAAGCTGCGTCCGCTCTGCTGCTGATGGGTCTCTCCTGCTTGTTGTCTGTCTCCAGGCCCTGGCCGACTTGGTGCACTCACACATCCAGTCCAACGAGCGCTGCTCCACGCAGCTGACCCTGAGCTGCCCGCTCTGCGTGAATCCCATCTGCAGGGAGACCAAGTCCTTCTTCAGCAGCCAGCAGCTGTGACCCCGCCAGAGCGCCGCGGGGATTTGGCCGGTGCCCAGCCTCCAGACACCTCCAAGGTGGAGGAGGATGTATTTAGCATTAGGGAGGGAGTCACATTGATGTGGGCGTAGCCTTTGGCCACAAATTGTGTACCTTCTTGAGGAATGGACTCTGAAATCCTTATTGAGGGGTATTTTTATAGACCAATACAGTAAGCATTTATAGTTCCCCTCTCTGGGTTAAGTTACTAGTTTGGAATGTCCACTAGGCTATTTTAAAAATGAGTTTTAAAAATTTATCTTATGAGATGCACACGTATTTTCAATACCGATTTTGGTTTTATTGCCCCCCAAAACCCCTGCAGGGGTACGGAGAGTGCCCTCTGTGGGGCTGTCAGAGTGAGTGAGGTCTGTTTACAATCTCATACTTGTTTTTTAAAGTGAACATAGTTGAGTAAATGAAATATAATTTGAAAAAAGAAAGGGTACCTGATCTTTCCGTCAGCCCGTGGGTCACAGGATGCTGGGCCGGTGATGTGGTTCCTACAGGGGCTGCTCTTGCCAGTGACGTCACTAGTAATCGGTCATTTTGGTCCTTGTATGTGAACCTCACTTTCCTCACCATGAAACCGAATCAAGTGTAGGTTCCAAAAGTGCTTTGAGATTCCCCGGGCACACAGGGCTGAGAAACGTGTAGCAATCCCGCATTTGTCATCCCCACCTTGGTGGGAATCGTTGGTGCCACAGGAGAGGGGGGCTGGAAATGCTAATGAAGGGCTTCATGTCCAGAGCTCCTCTCAGGACCTCGTGGACATTTCCATCGAGCATCTTCTTCATCTTGGTTGAATGTCCCGTTTCCGCATATTTGTTTGAAGATTTATTTTATAAAGTCAAGGATGTTTGGTAACCTCCAATTCTTAATTTACAATTTTTATTATAAAAATTATGTAACCGTGCTATAGGAAATTTAAAAAATAGAGAAAAGGAAAATAACCACTCTAATGCAACAAATATGATTCATATTGTTGTAGTTCATGTTAGTCTTTTCCTGTGGATATCTTAGATGCCATTGTAACCTTGAATTTGTGAGTGAAAAGTTGTCCTAAAATGTAGAAATAATATAGGATCAGAGTCAGACCTTCTATACCTGGATTTATATGGATTTTAAAAATCTCTGATGGATCCATAGTGAATTTGTAATAATTACTTTCTCTTTCCTTTAAGCCTTACAACTTTGTTCTTTGAAAGTGCCTTTCTATTTTTTTTATTTAAGCCACTGAAAGTATTAGTGGCGTCATAGATCTTCTATATTCAGCATTTACTATATTAATAAATATGACATCATTAAGGTTTTAACCAGTCTGATTCATTCTCTCTGTTAAATCAAAAGTAATCCAAATTCATTACTAATCAAAATTATTAAATAAGAGGAAGTTACTTTGTAGTACAAGAAAAGTAACATGCCATCCACGTTAGTTAATAGTTTTCCCACACTGATAACCGCTCTGAAATTTGAGTAGCATCTACACTTTTTTTTTTTCCAAATTGGCTTTCCTTTTAGTAGATTGTGTTTCCAGAAGAGGGTACAAGGCATAGACAGTTGTTTAGAATTTTCCTCTTCTGTTTCCACGCACTTTGGGGGGACTAGGTTCAAGGTAGGCTTTGAGTGACCTTGGCGGGATGGCGTAAGGAGCAACTCGTGTGTTAGCCAGAGGGCAGAGTTTAAAGCTGGCGGCCATAAGAAAGAACTAACATTTGTGTGTGTACACGTGCGCTGGTGTGTAAGCCTAGAGCCCTTGACTGCACCCTTGGTACTGCATCTCTAAGCTCTCAACCCAGCCTATAAAACCCCTTCTGTCGGATCCTGAAGATGGCCCAGGAACGTGCTTCCCAACATTGGGTGGAAATGGGAAATTCATTGAGACGTTGCAAGCTGGAAAAAGAAAATTCTGAGTTGACCCCAAAACTAGTGTCCTAAATTAAGGTCGTTCAGTTTCTCCGTCTTAATATGGAAATCCTCAGAGAAAGACAAAAGCTAATATTTTCTTTCCTTATTTCTAAAAATTATAAAATTAAAAACATTTCATCAAGGTTGTACCCCAGACTTTGTAAATATCATTCCTAGGAGTGTTGTTCTAATTGCCTAATAATTGAGATTCCATTGTAAAAAAAACCCTTCAGTAACTTCTCCCAGTCCAGATGGCCTTCTGTGACATTCAGCTTTCTTTTTATAGAAGCTAGCATCATAAGGTTTCAGGGAATGTACATCAAATGAATTAAGCCTGAATATCGGATGGCTCAGGAAACCTGAATTCTGCTTAAATCATTGCCAGTTGAACTATCTAATCATGTCATAATTATATTGAAGTTTTATGTGCTTGCTTTCTAACATTCCTGGTTAATTCAAACAGTGGCACCTGAAAACTTGATCTTTTTTTTTTTTTTGCTAGATTTCTTCCAGCTGGACAGTTGTGTGGTATGACTATTATCTAACCTTTGCCTTAAAAGGCATGCTTCTTTTCTTAATACACTTATTTTGGAAAGTATAAAGTGTGCCAAGCCATAAGGCACCGAGGTGAGTGGTGGGTACCGGTGGGCAGCCCAGAGAAAGAAGCTGATGCTGCCAGTATTCGCTGAATAGCACCAACATGACAAGCAACAGCAGTGGGCGCCCTTTAGTGGAACCACGGCTCCCAGCGTGAGATGAGCCTTAGGAGGGCTCTGGGGAGTGGGTGACGTCCAGAGAACACATTCACAATCTAGGCTCCCAGGAGAGGAAGAAGTGCTTCTGCTTTTGCTGTGGGAATCTTATTAAGCCTTTCAACAGGGAAGAGGAAGTGGAAAACAAATGCACCCGTGATAATCAGTTTCTTACGATACACTCTGATAGTGTCCGCTTAATCGTTTTTAGCAGAAATCATTAGCTTCCATTTTTAGCATTAACAGCTCCTGGCTAAATTAGTCTATGGTAAGCCATTAGGAGGGATGTTGGAATTAAAAACATCTTTGGAAAAAAGCCTGGTTTGAACCTGTGTTATAAGCCCTTGGGCAGGAGTCGCCGGGTCCTGTTTCTGGTTGTTTGACAGCTGTCACTCTGATGTTCCAGGTGCTCTCTCAGCAGCCTGCTCCTGAAATGAAATCGCACAGGCCGGCTTTTTTCCTTCCACTCTCCCCAAGGGGTTGAAGCTTTACTTTCCTGACATATTAAGAAGTAATAGATTTTTACCCTGAGAATTCATGAGGTATTTTTACCTTTTCCTTATTTAAAAAAAAATTATATACATGAGATGGGATTAACTGCACAGGCATACAAGCAGGGGCTTGCTGGCCAATTGTTAAAATTTCAGGTTGTTACACATAGCAATTATTAAAAGTGTTATATCTTACAGTTTAATTATATTTTAAAAAGTAACAAATACTCAAAAATCATTTCCCTATTATTTTACTATATTTTATCATCTTTATTCTAGAGGTTATTTATGTTTATGATACCTATATGATGAAAATACTATATAATGATGATGAGCTACTGTACGTTTCCAGCTTTGTTCAGTGACCGTGTTGGTAGCTTGAAATTGGCTACAGCAGGGCTATTTACTTTTGGAAATCAGCAAATACTACAACTTAGGGCTTCCTTGATTGTTTTGTTGATTACCTAGACTTAAAGTGGTGGAAAAAATGTTCATACATATTAAAAGTTGTCATGTCTCTAGCCATTACATCCTGAATAGCACAAACATTTGAGGAAATATCCTCCCATTATGTGAAAACTAATAGCCGATTTATCCAAGTGAAGTTTTGATATACAAAGTTGTTTTACATTTGTATTACTCATTAATGTAAATGAAAACACCAGCATTCGTGTCAGAACTATATAGGGCGGCTACAGATGCGAGAGCTTGATAAAAGTCAACACAAGCATTCTTTGAGAATTAATTGATTATATGGAATTTACAGTAAAGAGAATTATGTATTTTATTATTACTTGTAAATTGTGCATCCTATATCTTTTATACTGGTGAAAGTTATAATAAACATACACACGTGTATGTATGGATTGTTTTTTCAGAGAGCTGGTTGGGGACCATTTACCAAAACACTACTGCCTCAAACGGAACTTTTCTGGGATGATGGACGTGGTCTATGTGGATCGCATGCTTGCGTTGTTCCCAGATTCATTATATAGAGAGAGGTAGCTCGCTCTGTAGATTGCCGTCTTTTTAGAGTGGAAGCTACCCCATGGTTACTAGAAATTTTAATCTTTTTAGTAAGATGCCAGTTGTGTCCAACAAAATCCCACGGGCCTGTTGTACCAACAGGGGCCCTGAGAGGCGAAGGTTTGCTTATATCTGATAAACATCCTTATAGACAGAATCTTTGGACATATTCTCAGTCATTTCCACAGGAAATATCCCTTAGAAGTGGGTTTTCTGGATCAAAGGATATTTATGCAGATTTTAAAAAGAGGATTAAATGAGATCCCATGCCTAATGTATTTAGTAAGGTGCAGTGTTTGGGTGGGGTGTGTGTGTGTGTGTGTGTGTGTGTGTGTTAAAGGCCCAATAAATGGTAGCTATTATTGACTTGTGTTACTCACTTGGTTAGCAGACGATGGCTGTCTTGTTCTCAGTGTGACTTTATTCTAGGAGGTGGAATTTTACTGTGTTGTTTTTTCATGAAGATGTGATGGCAGAACGAATATTATCCTCAAAGTTCAGAGCACTCACAGAGCCTCTAGGAATCAGGGATCAATTCTCTAGTCCTGCCTTTTATGTTCCTTGTTGCATTTACTTTGGGTCACTTGCCCTGAGAAGGTCACAGGTAGAGAGAGGAGAGACAGACCCTAAAGTTGTCTATCCTTCTTCATCAGTAACTTTGCAAAGAGTTTGAATGTCGGGAGAAAGTTGAGTTTCAGGTTTAAACAACTTGGGGGATGATGTGTGGATTTCACTTACCCTTTACGGGTCTGCAGGTACCTGAGAGTTGCCTGTGTGTGTCCCGCCCGCCAGCCTGTCGCCGTGTGGCTCTCAGAGGGCAGAGCCGTCCATCAATGCCGGGCCGGCCTCCAACTCAGGTAACCACTGCACTTACACAATTCTCCCTTTAAGAAACGTCAGCGGGGAATGTGTTCCTTCCTGTTTCTGCGCTTCTGAAGGTTTTCATGTCCACGCTAACCCACTGCGGGTCTGGGCCAAGGCCAAGTTGCCCATCAATATTGTAAAGTAGCAGCGTTATAAAATTTATGGAAGACGCACAAAGGACAATTCCCTGAAGTGACCAGCCTGCTGAGAGGGGATATTGGATAAAAGGGGATTTCCCACTTGGAAACAGTGTGACATCAAGTGCCCAGCTGGGGAGACCCTTTATGCTCGTGGGCTCAGAGCTTGGTGAAGAAGGAAATCTGACCTGGTTTCAAATCCCACCTACAACTGTTAATTTATTTGGTTATCTATTAACAGTCTCCTGACAGCTTACTTTTATGTTTAAAATTAAGTGCTTGATTGATTATTTTATGTAACAGCGATGGGCTGTTGTTCTATACATAAACCAACCAATTAGTGGGCTCTCTCATTACTGATCTCTTTCCTTCTTTCTTGGTTCATTTTGTGTGTGTGTGTGTGTGTGCGTGCGTGCACCTGAAGGTTGGGAGAACTGGAGGAAAGGACTCTTTGTTCTGGGCTTGTATACATTCCCCAAACTACACATCCACAAGGATTTTCCAGCGTCCAAGGATTAATTCTCAGCATGATTCACAGGTAGGGGCAGAGTCCCAGAGAATCTGTTATTATGCTGATTTCATTTTATCAAACAATCTTAGCATAAACTCTCATTTTTAAGAACCTCGACTCTCCTTTTATCTGCTTTTGGAGGCATCTTCAAATCTTTCTGTCTTTCTAAGATTTGCGTCTGATGACTGGGACTCTATTATTTTAAGTTGGGTTTATTAAGTATTAAATAGGTACTCAGAGATGTCTGTAAGGGAGAACCTGCTGACTCCTGTGCTCGGGAAGTTTCCTCGTGGTCTGGCTGCTTGCTGGTCTCTCGGCCCTTGCGGTGGACAGGGGTGGCCTACACTGGCCTGACCTCCCAGGATGTTCATCTCTGGCCATCAGAACAGTATTGTTCCAGGCTCCTCGGAGCAGCACATACAAAGCAGGATCTGACCTGTGTTCTACCTGAAAAAGGTTGGGAAACGCTGGAAAGAAGTGTCAAGGATGACAATCAAATGCACCTCTGTGTCCACAGTACCGTGTAAGAAGTAAACTGTGTTGTTCTTTTTCTAAGCTGTCCTCATTTGGGGTAGATGGTCCTTCCGATCTATAGATGAGAAGAATAGGTACAGGGACAGATGATCCAGTCCATCAGCCCTCCCTGCTGCTTTGCCTGTCATCTTAGAAGGAAGTCCAGCTCCCTTCATCTCACAACCCGAGGGTTCATCGTGAATAAACAAGCAATCTGTACCGTGGACCATACTTTAAGTAAGAAGCGTGTCCCTAAGATTTCTATGGAAGCGGGTTTTGTAAATCTAATTACATTTTTCTTTTCTTTCCTTTTTTTTTTTTGTGGCCATGCTGTGCGGCTTGTGGGATCTTAGTTCCCCGACCAGGGATGGAATCTGTGCCCCCTGCCATAGAATCGTGGAGTCCTGACCGCTGGACCGCCAGGGAATTTCCTAAATCTAATTACATTTAACATGTATTTTGGGAGGCAAAGGAATCTAAAGGGAAGCATCAACAAAGTAAAGAATGTTTCTCTAACACACTCTCACCTCGGCTAATTTGTAAATCTGGGTTTTGGACTCAGGCTAGAACATGTCTGGGGTCAGTTGCCAAGTCTTCCTGAGAAAGAAACTGGGCTCCATTAGGCAAAAAGTAGATGGAATAATAGTCCAAAAAACTATTATTAGAAGCTGTATAATGGTAAAGGGCATGAGGACGGCACGTTGGTGTCTGGGCTGGGGGCTGGTGTTAATTTTCCAGGTGGCCTTTTCGTTCTCATCCCTCCTGCAAGAATAGAAATTTCAGTTTGACAGGACCTGCTGCTGCAGCACACAGATAGGGTCGGCCCCCTCTGGATCCACAAGTCCTAAAAATGCACACAACTTTTCCGAGAGGAAATCCTTATTCCATCTCATCTCAGTTCGTGAGGGCTGCTGTAACAATGTACCTCAAACTCAGTGGCTTAAAAAGCCCAGAAATTTATTCTGTCTCTGTTTGGAAAGCAAGTCCAAGGTGCTGGCATGGCTGTGCTCCCCACAGAGGCTCTAGGGAGGAGCTTTCCTTGGCTTTTCCAGCTTCTGGTGGTGCCAGGTGTTCCCTGGCTTGTGGCTGCATCACTTCAATCTCTGCCTCCATCTTCCCATGGCTTCTCCTCAGTGTCTGCATCTTCACTGTCATCTCGGACAAGGAGATGTGTCGTTGGATTTAGAGCCCGCCAAGATAGTCCAGGGTGATCTCACCTTAATATCCTTCATTACATCTGCAGGGACTCTTTTTCCAAAATGGGTCACATCCTAGGTCCTGTGGGTTAAGCCACAGACATGTGTTTTAGAGAGGTCCCTTTCAACCCCCTGGAGCCCCCGTCTTGCCTTTCCCAGAAGCCACTCCCACACATGCCTCAGGATCTGGGATGCTCCCATCTCCTGCTTTATGGTCAGAGCATAGAAATGGGGTCCCAGGGCTGAGGTGGATGGTTACAAGCACAAGCCTGGATTCCAACAGGACCTGGAACCCAGCCCTGGCTCCCCATGTACCAGACATGAGACCTGAGTAACCAAACCTCTCAGGATGCTGGTTCCTCATCTCTAGGATAAGAGTAATATCTACTAGCAGCTTGTTGTAAAGAAAAACCGAGATGACAGGTAAAAAGCAAATGCTGTGGACCAGAGTGATCGCTCACTATGGTAGCCATTATTACGGGCTGGGAATGGAGGAACCCGGGTGCTTCCATCTTGCCTGGTCCCAGTTAGCCACGAGACCGCTGGTGGGTCCTGCCCTCTCTGAGTATCAATGAAACAGATAAAGAGGCAGTGCTCCGACAAAGGGGTGCCCGGCCTTTTCCAGCCACAGTGACCTTGAACCCTCAGCCAGGCAGAAACTACCCACGAGTGCTCCGAGGCTCTGGCAGCTCTCAGTTTTGACCAGCTTCAGTAGAGTTCCTATATACTCTTAGACTGGGCTTCCAAAATAGCGTGGGGAATTTTGCAGCCCATTTAAAAATAGTGTTTGCTGCTCAGTTGTCCTTCGGAAAATGGTTTTGGTGGGCTGTACTTCACTTCCTGAGAAGGAAGCAGGTTATGGGATTCCTGAGTTAAAGAACAGTGTTAGAGAGCCAGCTCCTCAGTCCATTCTCCCATGATGAGGTACGATTGTCCAGAAACAGAGGAATCATGACAGATTAGAGGTTGTCCTGGCACCTGAGCAGAGCCCGTGCTGAGCGGGCCCTAGGAAGGCACAAGTGCGATTTGAATTTAGATGAAGAAATCGAAGCTCAGAGAGGTGAGGTGACCTGGCCAAGGTCACACAGAGCTGGTCTTCCAACTCTCAGACCAGCATTCTTTCTTTCTAGGGTTCTTATTTCATCCACAATGACTTTTAGGTCCCACTGTTCAGGACACATTTTTATTCAACGCAGTTGTGCTCCTGTTCAGATATCATTAAAAATTTAGTCACCCCTCCCAGGGAAATGACCATCTGATGTGAAGTTAAAAGGAAAGGAGGAGGCTGTATGAGATAGAGCAGAGAGAAAATTCTTCCAAATGGAGGGTCTGCGATGAGGGCCTGGATGATGCTATATAATGTTTCCATTTCACAATAGAAGACACATTTTATTTGCAAACCAAATCTTTATTTAAAATGATAAGGCACATCTATGTTTTTCTCCCCGTGGTCTAGTCTCTGAACAGAACTTCTGCTCATACAAGGTTATTGGGCAATGTTCTCAACATCTATTCATCAGTTTCTCAGCACCAGCATCTTCTCTGGCTAAGCTAGATATACTTTGATGTATATTTTTTAAAGAAATGAAACTGCTATAGTAATAAATAATG